TAGAGGTAGAGGTAGAGGTAGAGGTAGAGGTAGAGGTAGAGGTAGAGGTAGAGGTAGAGATAGTGACAAGTCTTAACCAAAATTTGAAATTTCCGCTGTGTGGTCAATTTTTTAAATAGACCGCAATCCTCACTGTAGAACTTTGACAAAAAAAACCTCTATAACCTAATTTATATTTATAAGTTATTAACTATACTTACGACGAAATAAATGATGTTTAAAAGAATAATACCAGTAAGAACCTCTGTCTTTACATTTCCATGTCCTAAAACAACTATAATCCCATTAGATAAGCTTAAAATCATGATAAAACCAGTACTAAGAATGAGTATAATGAGCTTTCCAAATATGTCACTGATTTCTTCAGGGGTGTTACTTAATAACGTACAAAATGTTCTTATTTCTCTTACATTTGCCTTCGTACATTACTATCTACAGTGAAAGTATTTTTGTACTTACGATGTAACTGAAGACGCTCAGAAGAATAGAACCAAAGAGAACGTCTGTCTTCCTAACTCCATTTATCCCTTTCAGAATTTACAAAACAACGATTAAATACCAATCAAAACTAATAACAAGAAGACTAAGACAATATTATTCCGATAAATTCTCGAAGACCGAATTTGGTCCAAATATCTATTATGTGCCAAAAGGTATTGAGGAGAAACAATTTTCGTTTCATCATAATTATGGTTATTATTATTATTTCTGCACTAAAGTAAGTTGGGTTAGATCGGTCTCCAGGACCTCCGATTACAGTAAAACAAAGCACCCTGTACATAAATAATTAGATACACATATTTAAATGTAAAAAAAATATTCTTAACATTAATTTACATCTAAGATTATTGACTATTCATCAGTAAATATTTATAATCGTGGTCACTTTTTTCGTCATTGCGCTGTTTATAAGTCTGTACTGCATACAAATTCCATTTATTTATATTTTTGTGTATCGGTAAAAGGAAAACATTAGGCTTACGTAATATTCTGGGCTACAGTAGTCGTTGGCAAGGAATACTTGAAAATCACTAATTTAAAGCATAATTTAATGAATGTAACACACAGCAAGTGAAACCCAGTACTTAATTGTCAAAGAATATCATGCAATGTAATGCGTTTTTCATATCATGGACGACATTTTGTAATAAATAGTTGTTTAATGTCCACATTTTCTATCGCATTAGAAAAAGCTCATTATGATTTTGTAGTAACTACGTCAGGATGTTAAATGTGTGTAGATTATTAATCTTTAATACGTCATTTTATTATAAAATCTATATGTCCGTAGATTTAAGAGAGCCATAAAACAAGTAGAGGGTCTAAGACATGCACAATGAATACCTACTATTCATTCTATTACTATTCGTTGAATAGTATTGAATAGTATTTCTAAAATTTCTATTTAGCTAAGGATTGAGCTGACATCTGAAACTTATTAAAATATTAGTAATATGACAGAAAGGTAAATGCGACAATATACAATTAATAATAACAATATACAATAATTTTCATATACAACAATTTTTTCTTAATAAATTAAGCATGATTGATAGGTGTAAAATACCGAGAGATCCAGAATGATTGAAGCGTTTGGGGAATGCAGCCTGTTTCTAACACCATCTTTATCAATTAACATATAAAAATATGAATATGTAGTATTGACAGACAGGCACAGGGTGCGCGATCATCCATAGAGCTTGCAGCCCTAGGCCCACCTCAACAAAAATCCTAGCTTCCCCCATGTCTACGTTAATAAATTTCACTTAAGTACCTATTCGCAATACGAATGTTCAACAGTTTTAGCATGTGAAAAACATTTTTTCTAGCTAGATACAAACATTTTATTCACTTCACTAAGATTTAGATTAGATGATATACAGTTTGTCCCACGATTATTTTCTTAAGAGAAAAAACTTTTTTATGTATAAATTGTTTTATAATAAATAATAAGCAATACAAGTTTGGGATATTGTATCAACTTAACTAAATCTTATCATCTTTTGCGAGACGGTGCTAATAATTTATTCCTAACTATGTTTAATTCAAAATTATTACAGTCAAGTGAATGTAAATGTATGAAAACTAGTTTACAAAATACCTACTTTCTCATAAAAGATAAAAGTAATCAATTATTAATAAACAAATTAATGAAAATATTGTTATACATCACAGTGCTGCGATAAAAATTTAAAAACATTGATGTACTTTTGATAAAACTCAAATAGGTCATTGCGATCATAAAATTTCACAAACTGAGTTTTTGCCTTGTAGGGAGAGTTGAATTTCTTCAGTTCGTTACGGTTGCGCGAGAGTGCAAATGAAGCAATAATGGATATTAATTATAAGCATTTACTCAACAATAATCGGTGAGCGACTTTAAATAAATGTATATGTATGTATAGCAATGGTACAGATTAAGCTTTAATAGTGTTGCGAACGGTCAAAGAATTCTATGGGAAACAGCTACCTATACGAGTACTTATTCCTTCAACCAATTTGATAATAAATGAAAGCATATAGAACCTTTAAATTACTTTGCATAATACAGTAGGAAATTTTCCTACTCCCATTTTTGTGTTTTTATACAATTCCATCACTGCACATTATTTAGAAATTGGTGGTTGGTCAATTCCAGAACCGGTTCTACATAATTTTACAGCTTTGAAATTTGAAGAAATCTTTTAATTTTTTATATTTTGACGCAATACAAAAATCGTTTTACTTGTTACGTGTAATAAAGTTTCTGTTTTATTTTGACATTGAATGTGTACTATATGTATACAGGGTGTTCCACCTAAGAGGGATTCTTCTGTAACTCTGTAACTGTCAAATTTATAAAAGAAATGGTTTTAATAATGTACCTACACGTTTTGCTCACAAATGACTAGATAGAGTAATTTATGCCGAAACGAACTGTGAAAATTGCAGGTTTCTAACTCTTACGATTTATAGATACTATCTCATTTATAGAGAGCTGAAATCGCGATTTTTTTCAAAAACAACTAGATATAAGAAAACGGTAAGTTTTAAACACCATGCACATTTAATAAACTCTACCTAATATTAACCAAGGAATTCAAAAACACAATGATATACAGGGTGTTCCGTTTAAAATAACAACGTTATGAAGAGCCCACGCGGAATGGAACAGCCTGTAAAGCTAAAAATATTTTCTTTACATGGCCCACATGATTCCAGGCAACTTTTATTAAAACCATTTTTTTTATAAATTTTACAGTTGTAGTGACAGAAGAATTCCTCTTAGGGGAACACCTTGTATATTATACGATGACGATGTGATTATTTGGTCAACAAACATAATTAACATTATAATGATTAGAAAATTCGGGTAGAATGACACATATTTGTAAATTTGTTACACTGGTCACTATGCATAATGTTAAATCCTGAACAGTATAATATCTATAGGGATTTATCCGATTTGTACACGCTTTCTTTTGGTATATGGTTTTTAATAATAATTTAATACCGAACATTGTTATGCGTCGCACGTACCAAGGTTATGATTGTGAAGACTCAATAAGAAGTATTATTTCTTCCTGGATAAAATTTGTCTACGGGTTTTAATTTAATGTACTTGAAAACAAGTTCATCTGCTTAAAACATAAACGTAGTAGAATGAAAATTAAACGTTTTTGTTTACATTTGTTTTTACATAGATATCTTCTAAAAGAATGACAAAAAAAATTATAAAAAAATAGATTTACCAAAGGTTGATCATTGATCAATAATAATAAAAGCAGTTCATCAGATCGAAAGACATATCCGGGTTTAACTTTCAGTCCTTATTACCATTAGGTACGATAAATTGACTTCCTCTGAATATTCAGTTAAGTTATTGCCCTTAAGTTCTATACTTAGATGTTAATTTAAAAAAATGAACTATGAACTTTCCAATTTGACTTGATAAACACTAAAGGCATTCTTCCCTGTTTATCAGTACTTCAAAATTTAGGCCAACTCTTTAAGACAATAACGAACTATTATTTTTATCAGTTGCTTTGTTTAAACGACAAAAAACCAAATCCATTGTATAAAAGGTAGTAATGATATTTTATACGTGAACTATTGAACATGAACAATAATTAACATGACATACACGTAACAACGTATATTGACTGAAGTAGAAATCAGCAGCGGGTGCTGACCTATTCTCCAGGGTTAAAAATAAAAAATAAATTATAAATAATTATTAAATGTAATATTTTTAATTCATCTGCATTCACAAGTACCTATTCTGAACTGTTTAGGTGCCCTGAATTTGTAAGCACAGTGATTAATAATCGCATTTAAATTGATGTAATTAGTCACGTATAATTTTAAAAACTATATTTTGTTTATTAGTATGGTATGAGAGTAAAAATATAATCGAATATATTCATCTTTTAACGTAAAAATTATTTAAAAATCTGAACTCATACTCAAAATAGTTAAAAATGGAGCTGTAAAATAAAATCTTCAAAATTATTTGTAAATTTATACAGTGCGTGTGTTTCTACAAGGTCATCCTCTGAAATAACGTTGCTAAACATATCGATTACATTATGTATTTGGCAAAAAGAAATAAAAATTATATTCATTTAACTGTTATACATTACGTTCATTTGGTCAGTAACTTATTTGTATAATTCAACAGATATGCAAATGAATAAGATTATATTTAAAAAAAATATCATGTCCTAACTAATTTTACATAAACCGATTAAAATAACCATAAAGTAGCTTAAGTCAGATTATAAATTAAAAAAAAAAAAACTAAACTACAAACAATCCCCTTATGTTATGACATGGACTTAGAAAACATCTGGTATAATGTAAATTTAATGTATTTAGTTAAATATAAATGTAGATGTAGAACAATGTTAAAGTCCAATCCGCCATATTTTAAAATTTACTACTTCCCAACCGATATCGCCGACTCTGACCAAAGTCTAAAGATCGCCAGATAGTGTGAATGAAGTGAGATAGGTAAGGTCTTCCTTCGAGTTCGACAAGTTCGTTTTGTTGTTGTTGTCCTCGTACCTCGAGCCAGATGATTAGTGATATTTTCATTTTAGCTTTTAATTATGTTTTAGTGGCTCGTGGATAGTGCTCGGGTTTTTTGTATTTGGATTTGAATGTACTTTCTGTAATTCCATATGTGTATAGTGGGTTAATTGTTCCGTGTTATTCATCGTTGCATCCATTGATAAGGTAAAAATGGCAACATTGGCAACTGATAATCTTCTGTTAAAAAACAGGTCTCCTGACGTAAAAGTGCAAATTACTCCGGCACAACCAAAGAAGCTAACACATTTGCCCGAGAGGCCAAAGGTGGATTTAGCGTTTTCCAATTTGACGTACACCGTTCGCCAAGGAAAGAGTAAGTAAAATAGTATTCCCATTCCCATTATTTTTTATTGTAAAGGTGAACTTTGTAGGAAAGATAAAAAATTTTGTAGGATCGGTTATTTCCTTTCAGAAACGTTGATATTTTGTTAGAAATGACGAAACCAATTAAAATGATTTAATAGAGCAGTAACGTATCCAGGAATAAAAGTTTGGGGCCGAATTCAAATAAAACCCATTGTGTAAATCTAAATAGCTCATAAAACATAAATTACAATTTTTTCGTTTGTGAAGAAATATGTTTTATAATGTATTTTCTGCAAAAGGCTCCAAAACTTGGGGGAACCTGTGACCATATTATCGTACCTACCTATTTTACTTATAAAACTCCACACACAGCGTCTCAAATATATCTTTAGGAATGCCCTCGTATTTAATGAGTCATTTCAAGGGTCACATTGATACAGGGTGTCACCTCCAAACTAATTCTTGTAATAAAAGCAATTATTAGATTACAAAATTATAATCAAATTTCAAGTAGTTAAAGTTGCATGATAAGTAAGATCAAATACATTTGTTATTGTCCGTTGGTTCTCAATATACGAGAATAGGTCCACATAGTGATAATAATACTCTAATAAAAAATGAATACTCTTCGTATACTTCTAATAACATTAATCATACATGTTGTACACCGACATATTTTCATTATTTATTGATTTATTTATCCAATTCAAAGTAGCCTACATTATTTATTTTAAAATTTTTAGCAAATCACAAAAACGTCATGATTAATTTTTAATTCAAACAGGTGCTTTCTTTATCTCCTCTCCACTATTTCGGTGCATATTGGATACTAGCGCCCTCTAATTTGGTAAGATATTTGTTTACATGGAGTTCTTGCTCCTCGTATAGTCTTTATGGGTTAAATGATCAGCTTTGCTTTTAATTGTCAATATGACATGTCTTATATTTCAGTTTCAAACAAATTTTTTGTACTGGCAACACGAGTGAGATTTAGATTAATCCAAATTTTTTTGTCACCTGTGACTTGAGAATGTAGGTGTAGACTTTTCCTCGTAATCGAGAGAATTCTCCAATGGCTAAACCCTCAGTATATAAAACTTAAGTCTTTCCATTATGCTATATATTCATTATTAAAGAAATAACATCGCTCCTATTGTTTCTTATTAACAATAAATATTGGGCAAACTTAACATTTTTGTATTCTTAGTATTACGTTATTACATTTTAGTTTCACAATCACTTCACACAACCAATAGAAATACAAGCGTACAAATTTCCTTCACAATATTTTAGGTCTTGTAATATATTCTAATCGGTCTTAATATTTTGAAAAATTGTATGTATCATCTTTAAATAAAGACAATAATAGATTTTTGCAATCGAGGTATTTCTGCAGTTCTATCAAAATGTAGTGTTTTTAATAGTAAAATTCATAATTCAATTCTAGTTTTCAGTTAATGCAAACTATGTATATTATAATTACAACCTTATTATATCCATATTTGCATTGTCAGTTTGGCATTGCAATGCAGACGTTACAGACCTTCTTACCGATGTAGTAATTTGTTAATGTCGAGGTTAATATATATTGAACATTGCCAATTGCAATTTTTGGATGAAGTTTTGATCCAAATACATTTGCAACACTGAAAACTCGTAAGAAAAGTTTTCCTTAAAAGTACAATTCTTCAAGTTTCCTTTTAATATTGGTCGTATTGTAAGTGGGTATAGGTATAGGTATATAGGTATAACATTTTTGAATGATATGTGCAATTATTACGTAAATCCTTGTACGGAGGTACTACTTTCTTTTTTGCTCAACTACTTTGTTTACCAATTTATGAATACCAATAAAGTTGTTAGGTGTTTGATCAAAATGACCCCGTTTCGAATTCTTCAACTTTTTTTAACTTTTCCTGTTTCCTGACTTCTTACAAACAATTTTTTTTAAAAAGGTCATTTGGAAATATACCTATATGTACTTACTTTCCTTTTTACATTGCAAACAGTTTGGTAGCAAACGTAAATATAAAGAAGACAGGTGTCAGATGAGTTAGTTTACTATTCTCATTGTTATTATAAACATTACATTAACATATAATTTGATATTGTTTATAAAAAATTCATAGTAAACATAAGTATTTTTTGTTTTTGTTATAACTCATTAAATTGAGGACTTTGATTGCATAGTTTCATTTTGATAAAAGAACATTAATTCTACAATCACAAAAAAATTTTCGATTTGGAAGAATTGTAGTTATTACATTGTTGATTCTAAGGCAATGCCCCAAGTTGTTTAGTGGTCTACTTTTTAAATTGTAAGTGTGGGAATGTAATCAAATATATAATTCGCTTATCAGTTATGGAAATTTTGTAAATGCTTACATTATAAATCTTCCAAGTATTTAAAGTTTTCATAAGCCATTACTTCTAATCGATGTTTTTTATATTTTTTTTATTTTACCATGATTCATGATCACCTGATCGACTTTTGGATGTCAGTTTTATGTGTACTGTACATTTACAGGAACACCGGTTTCAACAGTAATAATAAAGATCTATGTGGTCTAATCTATGTGAATCATCTAAAAATTATTGATATAAAAATACATTGGTAATTAACTTAGGATTATTTCAGCGGTTACATAAAAGATTAGGACAACAACGGTCAATAGTATTATGTACAAAGCTATCAAAATATTATTCATCATTGTTCGGTTTTATCAAAAATTTTGTTCAAAGGTTAAACTAATATGATTCTTGTTCGTTTCGTAACATGGATTCCTATTACCTTGAGAGATGAAGAGAATTTTTTTCTTTAACGTTGAACAGAAGACTCTCAAAATAGAAACTCGCTTTCGATAGATTGTTAAAATACCTATGTCACAATAATATATTTATTTTAGTAATGTGGCTACATTATCAAGTGTTTGATACGACCTTAAAGAACACGTGTTAAATTCTCCATTATTTTTATAGTTTTCCAACTATATCTAATCCTTTGATAAACATGTTTGCATTGCATTGCATTGGTTGAAATTGATAAAGTTATTATTGCTATATTTAAGATACAGACAGTAACCAGAAAACTTGGAAATCCTATAAAAGACGGAAAGGCACCAATTCTTTTTTTTTAGTTTTCCATAATCCAATCCCTTACTATTGAATTAATACACATATCAACTGATGTGGTGTGTAGTATTTCATCTCGACTATCTTGACTCTGGACAAATTTGAATTTGTAGTGTTACTATTTTTATTTTATTTTTAAAGTTTTGGGATTTGTGATTTCCTTTTTATATGGCACGCGATTACTAGAACCAGTGTCCTCAAAAAGTAATGAATTAGTCGTACAATCTGTTTATAACTGGTATAGGAGTTTTCAAAATTTGTTTACGATTTTCTGTAGAATTTAAAACTAACTAACATCACCAGAATTTTTATGAACATTTTAAAAAAATAAGAAACTACCCTCTTCCAAGAGAAAAATCTTGAGTACCTGAAAATTATAGAAACGTTATTGTTAAATGTGAGCAAATAAATAAATCTCTTAGTCTATTCTCTACTCCTACAGTAAAGTTTTCAAATACTTTTTACTACCCATAACAATTTCGAAAATTAGTTTTTTAAGTTTAGTTTTTTAAAGTAGAACAAAGCCTATGAGAAACCCTGACTTTGTAGTTTCACATAATTCGTTTAAACATTTTACAAGATGAAACATACATCATTTGTCATGTTTCAACAAGTGTTTTAATTTAATCTATAAATTATGGCTTTTGAACTTTCCAGAATTTGAAGCAAGTATAGTTCTGATAAGATTAAATGGAAACTAACTCTCTGTCTGTATGTCCAAAGTACATTTCATACTTTGTTGCATGTGATATGATTCATCTCTGTTGAATTTATGCTTAAAATTTAATGTGGATTTAATTATTTAATAACTGCTACAGATACATGTGATCGCTGATTGATGAAAAATTGCAAGTGCAACAAAATGTTGTGTTTTAATGAAATTTTGATCTTGTTGTTTTAAGAATTGTTAATTTTACCGAAATTATCTAGTTATTTAATAACTTTTACTTATTCATTACTTGACCTCTACTTCATGTGAAATTTATATAATTGCCTCAAAAACGAGTTTTACAAGGAACAAGGCTAAACATATTCGAACAAGATCCAAAATGTACTTTGGAACAAACGATTAGGTAGCACAATTAGTGCATATGGACAAAATTATTCCATCACTCAAATTTGTATAAAGAATTAAAAAATCAAATAATTTTATTTCAAATTCTAACGTGGTAAATAATATCTATATTTATATCTCTAATATAATTTAAAGACGTGGCTTCGTGTATACATTAAAATGATGCAGCAATTTTTTTTGGGGATATACAGGATGTTCTCGCATTCTGTATACATCGAACTATCACAGATTCTTAGCATCAAATTAAGATAATTTAAACTCAAGGTACCTCTATTCAAAGTTGTTTCCTCTGCCACTAGAGGACATTAAAAAAGCCACCACCATTTTCAATAGAAGTCTAATTGAATTGTTATGAAAAACTTGATAATAAAAAGAAAATAATACATTGTGCTGTTCAGAAAATTATTGCAATTAAGTATCCAAGATTTTCCCATTTTGTAAATCGCGAGTATTAATTTTGAGTATCTTTGATTATTCTTATTTGAAGTTGAAAAGCATTAAATTAGATGAATTCTTGGCGAAAATACTGAAAAACAGTATGAAAGTACTGTTAAAAAATAATTTTCTTTACATTATAATCAATAAAACGTAAAATAAGCTCATTTGTGTTTCTTAAAATTATACGTACCTAATATAAGATTAAGCAATTAATTTACAAGGGAATAGGCACGCCTAAAAGATATGGGTACGCGTGACAAAAATCTATGTCTGGAAGTACTTATTTTTAGAAAATAATTATACATGTATTCTGTTCTTTTTTTTTAGAAGACAAAATTATTCTGAAAAATGTCAGCGGAAGGCTTCGATCTGGCGAGTTGTGCGCTATTATGGGGCCTTCAGGGGCTGGAAAATCAACCCTACTTAATATCTTGACAGGATACAAGTAAGTAGACATATGGTATATTATGTTATAAACTTCTGCAAAAAATTAAGGAAGCAAAAAATTTTTTCGAATTTTTAGTGATTTTTCAGAATGCTGTATGTCAGTTAAAAATGATCGTATCAAGGTTTAAAAAAAAGCATTTTAAAGCGCTGAATGTCTAGTTTCCAGATTTCTTAGCTCAAAATTTTTAGGAGCAACAGTCATCGCGAAATTCTAATAAAACTAAAAAATTTTTGTTTCAATTTTTTAGGTTTTTTTTCTCGGTCCACGGGCTTGGAAAAATTTTTTACACAAAAATCATGATATGGACTTGATAGCCTGTTCATTCAGCTTTAATTTCTTTTTTAAATTTTTCTCTACGTTAATTTGACCCGGAGATATTCGACTACGAATACAAAAGCATCCTTTTGGCTTTAACCTAAATATCTCAGCAACTTATGATCAGACAGAAAATTGACGGGCAGTTTCGAAATCTCGAATAAATTTCCTACAAGGCTATGTAGCGTTCTTGGAAGAAAAAAATTTTCTTTCTTCCTCGACATTAACTTGAAGAAAGTGAAAAAAGTGACTTTTTGACTTGTTTTGCTAAGTCGACCGCATCTTTGCTAATATCGATGGAGGGTCTAATGCTTGTACGAATTTTTACACCTCGATGTACCCCCAAAAGCTCCGTAAATGGGCAGATCGATATATCGATTTGAGCACCCTGTAACGTTCGTAAAAATTAAAAATTTTATTTTCAATTCTTTCACAATTGGGCATTTTTTGCTCATTGAATTTGAGCAGAAGTTTATATAACAATAACTAATAAAAAAAAAATAGTGGTTGCAATTTAAATACATTGTTTGCAGCAATATTTAACATAATTGCGTTTTTTTTAAATTATTTATTAATTTTAGCCATTGCACTGTGATAAATATAAAAATGTAGTCATCAATGTACTTATATTTATTGTTAAAAAGTATTATAACTACAGCTATTTACATAGCTATCTTCATTTGGATATTATATAACACCATTCTTTAGTTGGGATATACTTCTCCGTTAAAAGAAGTGAAAGTTGTACATAAAATGATTGTATCAGCCATGCACAAGTAAAAGTTACTGGCGAGATTTTTACCTTCCACTATGGCTATGATAATCATGTTACTTTCCATTACATCTTTGAATATGTTTCTGGTAATATATTCAAGGACATCGCCAAATTATTTTTGTAGAAAGAACAGTACAACTGTTCATGGAGCATATCATTTTTTTTTTATAAATTATATTAAGAATGTCAGCCTATATTTTAAGCTTTAAATTTACGTACATGGCTACAAGATACTGTACACATGCATATAAATCTACATTTGACCTTGATTGTGATTACAAATGTAGCGAAAATGTATAAAACTTATCAGCTATTATTCGTTATCTAACTACTACATACTAACTATTTTCGATATACATGATGCTTTTATATTTTGAAGTATTTGAGTAAAACTTTATAGTCTATATCAAAAAATAATTTAAATAATAGTAATTGCGATTCCATGTATGCCCCCCTTATATTAGTATTGATATTTCAGAACAGAAGGAACAACGGGCCAAATATTAATGAATAACAATGAAAGAGATTTGAGTCAGTTTAGAAAATTATCTGCTTACATCATGCAGGACAACCAGCTTCATGCGAATTTAACAGTAGATGAGGCCATGACAGTAGCAGCCAAATTGAAAATAGGGGATAAAAAATTACACGATAGAGAGGCTATTGTAAGTTAAATTATTAACTGGAGTTTAATTTTCTTTGTATATACAATCTTTTTTTTTTTTTTTTTTGGTAGATTACAGAAATTCTAGACACTCTGGGCTTGCTAGATCACAGAAAAACAATGACTAGTGGCCTTTCTGGAGGTCAGAAAAAGAGATTGTCAATTGCATTGGAACTTGTTAGCAATCCTCCTATTATGTTTTTCGATGAACCGACTAGTGGATTGGATTCGTCATCCTGTTTCCAGTGTATATCTCTGCTGAAGACTCTAGCTAAGGGTGATTTTCTTTACTCAATTTTTTTTTAATTTTGTAAATATAAACCGTAAATTATGAATTGCAGGGGGTAGAACTATCATATGCACGATCCACCAGCCATCAGCTAGATTATTCGAAATGTTCGACCAGCTGTACACACTCGCGGACGGCCAGTGTGTTTATCAAGGGTCCACAAATCAATTAGTACCGTTCCTTGGTACGCTTGGCTTACAGTGTCCTTCCTACCACAACCCCGCTTCCTACATAATCGAGGTGGCCTGTGGAGAGTATGGCGACCATACAAAAAAATTGGTTCTAGCCATTGATAACGGCAAAAATGATATTAGGGAAGGTAAACCGTTTCCCGATTTGAAATTCAACAACGGCTTCAACAACGGCGATGTTTTTGCCAAAGAGAACATGAACACCATCATGGCTAACCAACTTTCAAAAGAATCTGCTAATAGTTATAGCGAGAAGAATCTAAATGTGGCGGGTGAGCAGGTTGTGAATAACCATGTTCCCAAAGTATCTGTTTCCGATAAAATCATCGACAAACAAGATGTTAATTCCACGATATTGGAAAACGTGATACCTATAGACCAGCTCAAGAGCAAACGAGCAAATGTCAATGTTGAAAAAGCACAGTCTGTTGGTCAAGATGTACAAGAATCTGCTGTTGATATCGAAAAGCCAGATGTTACGTCTACGTTATTAGAAAACACAGTACCTGTGAAGCAGCCTAGGTATGGAAATACGGAATTGCAACAGTTCTTTATCATTTTAAAGCGAGCACTTCTATTCAGCAGGAGAGATTGGGTAAGTATTTTTTTTAAATACAAATGATTCGATCAGTAAAAATTTTAAAGCAAAAAAAGTTTGTAAAAGTATCCGACCTAAGTATTTCGCTTTCAATAAACTTAGGTTTTACATTGCCTATGTAAATTTAAAAAATATTTCATAATTTTGATGTCACAACTATTAATTTTACCACTGTAGAATTTTAAAAAAATCGGGGGTTTTTTTGCTTAAAAAGGTAAAAGGTTTTATACATTAATTTTTTTTTTTAATTGCACTTTTCCTGAAGCGTGTTCGGCGTACAGTGTGCCCATTTGGACAAAACTCAAACCTTATATTATGAATATACAGTATTTAGCCTATAACATATGCCTTTGACCTTCAAATGACCTTGGCGATATGGCTTAAAGTCACAAAGATAATAGGAACTCAGAAAAAAACTTTGAACAATTTTTCGTGAGCATTGTATGGTCCAAAATGTCTGTGAAGTTATTTTAAAAACGTATTTTATGCACAACAGGCTGGGTGTCCCACGAATTCGAATTTTATCAAGGTCAAAAGGTCACAAATTAAATTTATCGCACCCATAGGTCATTTTTCAAGGTATAACAAACATGCAAAAAAATTTTCATAAAAATCGATTTAGTCTTGTACTGTCGGCAGAATTTTGTCCAAATGTGCGGCGTCTCTCATACGGCTACGTGCGCTATGAACATATTCGCTCGGAAGGTACCACGTACCTTCTTACCTATTGATTTTATAACTTCTCTAATGCACTCATAGATGTCGTTAGGGAGTATGCATGTACAATAAGCAAAATTTTCAAACAGAAGTACATTAGTGTAGCGTCAGTGCACGTTCATGTCTAAAGCTCATTTTAAACGTTTAAACGCGTTTTTTCAAAACAGCACGCACCATAACTCCAATAATTTTCAATATTTTCTTTTGAAATTTTGGAAACATTTTGAAAAGAAACATGGATTTTTTGGTAACTTAATTTAAACAATTGTTATAAACGAATAACTGCCCTTTTTTGTCGAAAATTTATCGTTTTACTTCAAACACTTACCAATTTTACAAAAAACAATATTTTTACAATCCCGTATGTGTTTCTCTAGCTACACTCATGTAGATTAAGAGCATTTTTTTTTGTTTCACCTTGAAATTTGCACTAGTTGTAGTGTTTGCCGCGGAACGCCTCGACGGCAGCATGCTTCAGGAGAATGGCTCCAGTGCTGCCATTTTGAAATATTCTTTAAAGAAAATAATTTTCTGTTCACTTAATACATGCCTTATAACATTAATCATTTTTTCAGACCCTCATGTACCTTCGTTTGTTTGCCCACATCCTTGTCGGTTTCTTGATAGGAGCCTTGTATTTCAAAATCGGCAATGACGGCTCGAAAGTTCTCAGTAATCTCGGATTCCTCTTCTTCAACATGTTGTTTTTGATGTACACCTCCATGACGATAACCATCCTGTCTTTTCCGTTGGAACTGCCAGTTTTGCTCAAGGAACACTTCAACAGGTGGTATTCTTTGAGGTCTTATTATCTCGCCATTACGATATCGGACATGCCTTTCCAGGTAAGATCGTTGAAGGTAACGATTTGTGGCGGGGGTGAAAAACATTATTTTTTATTTTCAGACCGTTTTCTGTGTTCTGTACGTTACCATAGTATATTTCATGACATCACAGCCGCCAGAGTTACACAGGTACGGGATGTTCTTGTTGGCGTGCCTGCTAGTGTCGTTTGTGGCACAAAGCGTAGGGTTAGTAGTGGGAGCTGCTATGAACGTGCAGGTGAGATATTTTCAGTTATTTTATATACTTTTTAAGGATACATGTTGTTGTTCCATTTATTTTTCTAATGAAACAGAGTCAGAAATACACATACCTATTTTAAACTAGAAACGAGAAAGGTCCAAGTTTACTACCTAGAGTTTTTTAAAGTATAGTCTTTCCGAAGTCAGTTGAACATGTATAAAAACGCCTAGTAATAAAATTTAATGAGTTTCATAACGTCGCTAAAAAAATTTTCTGCGAAAAGTAAAAAATAACTAATTTGTATATGTGTAGAAAATTTCTATTACATGTTCATTTGGCCAGTGATGGTAAATTTTGGTTATGACATATCAAAAAACATTTACATTTTCATTAAAATATATTACTGTTCGGCAAGAACCACGGGCTAAAGTTGGTACTTTATTTTCTTTATATAAATTATAAATTGTCCGCCGAATTAAGTCTCTCATCATGTCAACGATATTTTTACATTTTTGTTTTCGCTTCCTCTTTTCGCAATGATCTAATAACACCTTGTTTAATAATACGAAAAATTGTGGACACTGAAACAAAATATCCCTCTTATTTCTCCCTGCCCCAATTATAATATGAATGATTAGTAGAAGGTGCCTATAATAAATCAAAATTACCTGAATTACACCAGATTCCGCATTGCTGCACTGCACTGCTAGGTAATTTGTCAACAATTGAAATTTATGACCCAGTCACTCAGTGTGGCTGTTCTTCAACTAGGCATATACGTTTCTACCACCTCCACGTTTAGTTCGACCATACCTGTATATGGGTATGACTAAATAAATATGGGAACAAGTTTTTCAAATATTTCAATGCCGACTTATTGTGTAGCGACCGAGCCTGGTACATACTACCTAGCTGTTTGGTCTTCAATTGATATCGGAAAGACTATAAACACAAAATTTAAAAGTTTCAAATTAAGTTTTAGCGTTAAATCATCTTTGACAGACCAAAGCCAGTGCCTAATAGCAAAAAAAATTTCCCTGTAAATGGAAATTCGTTAAAAATATTTTTATTATTAAACGATTAAACATGGCAGCACTATAATTTTATCATTATTTTTAGAACGGCGTCTTCTTGGCTCCTGTAATGTCTGTACCTTTCCTGCTGTTCTCGGGTTTCTTCGTATCTTTCGATGCAATCCCTATTTACCTTCGATGGATAACTTACCTGTCGTACATCAGATACGGATTCGAAGGCACCGCCTTAGCCACCTACGGTTTCAACAGGCCAAAATTGGAATGCTTCACCTCGTACTGTCACTTTAAATCGCCCGATACGACATTGGAGGAGTTAGATATGAACAAGTCTAGTTACACTCTCGATATAGTCGCGCTCGTGGTGATATTCTTCGTACTAAGAATATCCGCTTTCTTGTTCTTGAAATGGAAACTAAAGTCAAATCGTTAAGAGGACTAGTAATTGTTAATCGTTATTTTTTTACAATGTTTTTAGTCTAGGTAGATAATGCAGACAATTTTCATTATGGAGCTAGAAAAATTGATAAAAGGTTAAAGGTAATTTTTGTAATTATGGGAATATTGGAAAGAACATACTTTTTACTAATAATATGTCCAAGAATAAGTTCTGTTAACTATAGGTGGAATGCGAGTATGAAGATTTAGCTTTTCAATATGAATCCCTGGATTTAATACAATACAACTGAAATTATTTAAGTAGAAGTATATTTAATATTATTTTTTGTAATGTTACTTCTAATATTTGTGATGTAGTTAGGGGCTGTGAGACAAAACCGAACAGTAACGATATATACCTTGCCAGTTTTTTTTACCCATGACGTAATTGTTACAAAAATGGTAATATTCCAACTGTCGCTTCATGAATGGGTACTTGGACCATAAATATATTTATATACTTTTATATATACACAGTAGTTATAAAGTTAATATTTTGCATTTATATGTACATTGTTGTTAATAAACCTATATAAAATATCGTTGAATTAATTTTACTTTCCACGGATGTTACACTGAATTATAAAGAGCACAATTTTTAATTTGACTTTTTACTGCAACTAAACTAGTTTTGAGATAATCGGAAAATTAACGGAGGATAAACAATAACATGTCTTGTAATTCAATTGTGACGTTCGATCCCTTTCACTGAACTGTAAACGGGAAATAGACGTCACGGGCGCCGATTTTTGTGACGCTCCAATTAACGGAATTTATCGGCGGCGGTGTTCGGCAGCTGGTGGCGTTGAGTGACGTCACGGGTAACTTACTCCAGTTGGTAATTTTCTCTTATATACAGTTAATCTCGGGCGCCAGTTTCCCTATATTTTACATGGGGAAAACGTACACGTAAACCTTATCCTTGATTTAGAGTAAAGTGAAGCTACAGTGAAAAAAATTAAATTCCAGGGGTCGGCTGTATTCAAATTTTGGGGCTTATACTCGATAGGAACCGAAAATAATTTATGGAAAAGAATTACTCGATTCACTGGTTGTTCTTAGAGGGCTTCAGTGGTGGCTACTTGCTGCTGGTTGACTTCTCATGTAACTTGCTTTTGTCACCTCGATCCGGATTAGCACAAGTCGTGGTGGCATCATAAGTTTAATGACGTACAATTCTTTATCAGTATGCGGTGAGACAACCGATGAACGATTTTACCTATTTGGATGAGACCTAGTAATATCAAAACTGGTCTGTGTTTGGTGATGCTGCTGATGCATGATGATGGTGTTTACTAGATATTGGAGGTGTAATTCAATGCAAGACGAAGTATGTAGCTCGCATAGGAGTTGTTTCCCACAATATCATTAGTTCATACGACTAGGGATGCTAGGACCGATTTATGTCAATACTGGTGTCAAACGATACTGTTATTTCATAGTATCGATACCTTTTAAGGAGGTTTATCGGGTGCGGGGGTACGTCTAAAGTCTAACGAGAGTTTCTGTAGATTCGTTAGTGACTAAAGTAGTAAGCATTTAGATTTGGCAATGGCTATCACGCATATGGAGGTTAAGTTAGTCAACGACAGCAGTTTGAAGGAGAATTATTATAAATTATGTATCTTACAAGTACTTAATCGATTTTTACGAGCTGTCATACGGTTCCTTAGATATTGGTTTCCTATTTATACAAGTTGCTGTGGAAACTGTTCGTCAATTGTTGTGTTTTCTAAGTGGAAAGACCAAAAAAATCTGCATTCTCATAAGACTTCGTACTAAATCGTGAAAAATTATTTTATTAATATATCGTCTCTTAGGTATCCAAACTAATCATAATTTTTTTTGAGGATTTTCTTCATATTGCCAATTTCACTTTCCAGCAGGATAATTATTCAATTCACACCTCTAAAAGTTGCGTCGGAATGGTTCATTGATAACAACATCGATGTTTTATCTTGGCCCTCAAAGTCCCCTGACCTCAATCCTATCGAGAACGGCTGGGGATAATATGATGAACAAAATCTACGACAGAAACTTCCGTCCAGCTAACACCGAAGAACTTTGGGAGGCAATTGAAAATGCATGGGATAACATTACTTAGGATTACACAAGGACATTCATTTTATCAATGCCACGTAGATTGCGAAGTGTTATAGACAAAAATGGTGCTTGGACAAAATTTTGACTTTACGAATCGCGTTTTTCTGACGACGAAAAGCCGATTTAAACCAGACATTTTCAAGTCGGCTTCACAGAGGCCAATTAAGACAATTTGCTTATAAGAGTCCTCTACTTTCAAAGATCTCAACTTTAAAATCGCATACATACAAGTAATTTGTAATAAATAAAATTCTGGAAATAAGGATCGTTACGTGTAACTAAAAATTCTAGAAATACCGTTTTTTTTTTCTATAAATTTTATTCACTCAAATCATTTTAAAATATAAAAGACTAATTACTATAAAAATATAATCATTTTAATAATTTTTTATTTTTTATATCGGCAATTATTTGGAAATATAACTTTATATTAACCATATTGTAGAATTTTTTAATAGTACCTATGGACCATTTATGTCGAAATCCTTGCACCCAAGGTGCTGCTTTAATTTCAAATTTTGTTCATTGCACAAATGCAACAGAGCAATGAAAGCAAGATAACAACTCAGTTCTTTTTGCATCTTATGCGGTAAGATCTCTGGAAGCTCTTTGTACATTTTTGAGAAAGTTGTAGGAATAACCCTGCCTCTTCTTTCTTGATTCTACAAAATAAATTTGTGACGTTATGACCATAGCTTGCTACAAGAAGTGATTATGTCAGATGCTATATACTAATGTTACGGGTAGTACAAAACCTTATAAATGTTTTCAAGTCATGTGACAGTCGAGCTTAGGCAACTCAACATTGCACAATTGGTACTGGTAAAAAAAAATAAAAAAAATTCCCTAGATTTTGGCATCACCAATACTAACGTCTTGTTTACAATAACCAATGACAAAGCGTTATGTACATGCGATCGCTGATTGGTTGAATAGTAACTCGTCAAAAAATACACCAATAACAGCTGGTGAAACAGAGCGTTGTGTTTTAATGTAAAGCCTGTATTATACAATGTGATTTTGTTGTGGGGACAAAATTGCATGCATATTATCACAGAATGGGAGTGAATTGCTGCAATTTGTTTAGTTTGCAGTAGTGTTACCAACTGTGCATTGTTTAACATATAAAATTTCCTGTAAGTACCTTGTAAACAATTATTTTTTATTCAAGCAAAACATTGCAGTGCATGAAATTTAAAAGTAAATTTTTGTATAGCTTTAATAGTGGCTTCAACAGTGTTTCTAACAAAAGCCATGACCAACAGCTAGGTTGGTAATAAACAAATCTCTATAAAAGTAACTAGAATCAATGTAATTTTGTTGCGCGGAATAGAGCATGTTCTAATTCATGAAATTCAGTTGCCATTGAAAAATTTCATGAATTTTATTGCGGCAACCAAATCCCCGCAACGAAATTGCATTGTCTGATACAGGCTTAACATTGATCTTACTGAGTTAATTTTACCGACATTTAATGGCCAACATGAAGGAAATAAAATTACTGTTCCAAAAAAAATTACTGTTCACGTGGCTTCTAATCAATTATGAACGCTCTATATATATAATCTAAAAGCTCCCATTAATAGAACTCAGCAAACTTGGAAACATGACAAAATCGACAAAATTTTGCACTTCATATAAATGTGAGAAAAATTCGATTTAGAATGATTCAGTTAAACACTATATTAACGTTACATCCAGACAAAGGTAGCCGTTTTGGCGCATGCTTACACAATGTTTATTTTACTTTTAAACATTCCACATTTTTCTTAATTAATAAAAAAAAATTAAACTGATAGGTTAGATCAGCGGTCTTCAAACTTTTATGACTTGTGGGGCCCGCCCCACAATTCGATTTTTTTGAGGAACCCTCACACCTAAAAAAATTTCGAATGCACTTTTTACTGATTATGTAATATATTTATAAATTCTAATTTTAAATGAGAATATAAATTATTTTGAATTTTGCAATATCGATATTGTTAATTTCAAAATTTTGAATTTTTTCATGTCTCCAAACTCACTAGATTCTACTCATACATTGAAAAAAAAAAAGAAAAAACATGCCAGAACACCTAAACGAAGTTGATGGATTATGCGCAAAAGTTTTTCTGATTATGTACTTACATCTTTAGACGCACTATGGGTCAGGTTCTGCCAAATCGCTGCTTTTAGTTTCTTCATGTCCATCTTCTTAGCTTGCAATGCATAAGGCACATAAAACTTTGGTATCTGAAACGGAGACATTAGGTTTCGTGTTTGTTTTTTAATGCTTTTTACGCTTACCATTTCTGGGGCATCTACTAGGTTCGCGCCTAGAAATTCTTGCTGGGCAACTCTATACTCTTCGATATCTCCACAGTCGTCGTGGTTCTCAGATGGTGGTACAATATTCGCTGCATCTGGTTCATCCTTAAAGTGATTATCAAAATTAAGTCAAAGTTATTAAGTCAAATATAAGATTAAGGGAGTAAGTGAGGTAACTGGGAAGAATATTGGCTATAATACCCAAAAAAAATTCAATTACTGTGCAGATGCAAAAGCATCGTTAAATATATAGGAAAGCTCGACTACAACGTACACGCTTATTACGTACTTATGGTTATAACGTACCGAATAAACAAGTTAAAACGTACTCTGTTATTACACACTTCTGACACCAAAATACCTGGTCCCAGCATCTAAAAATTTCATTATAACGTACTTTTTATACTTAAATTTATTTCGGCAAGTACGGCAAAAGCTCAGGGCACGTATAGCACGGCGGCAACATATAAATCAGAGGCGGACGCTTTGACCAGGCCGATATATAAGTCTTCACCGACTAGCTGCACGGTATTGTTTATGTACCTACATTTCTTCTCCCAACACATGTTGATACAATGCAGTTGTCTAGTTATTTTAACAATTCTTTATTCAGTTTCCTTGTTGACATCGTACAGTGCGTATCTAAGCGTAAGTGAATTTTTGAATACTGTTAAGTATGGATGATTCAACTCAAGCTGGTTCTAGTAAAATGGCTCGGAAAGCTTTAATAGAAAAAAAAGTTTCTATAATTCAGGAAATAGAAAAAGGTGTTAAACAAGTTGACATCTGCAAATCTAGATGTATGAAAAAAACAACAGTGTCCACGATATTGAAAAACAAACAATAATATTGGATTCCCGCGGAATTTCTAAACAAAGTAAAAGAATTCGCAAACCCGTCCAAAAAAACATCGATGAGGCATTACTTCAGTGCTTTACATATTAAAGAAGCTTGAATACTACAATAGGTGGGCCCATTCTTCAGACAAAGGCCCAAGAGTTTGCAAAGTTACTTAATGCTGATGGATTCTCTCGTGATTCGGATTGGTTACATATGTTCAAAAAGCGGCACAATATAAGTTCCAGTAAAACCCATGGGGAAGCTGCAAGTGTGAACATGGAAAATGTCTCGGATTGGGTTAAATCAAGATTAGTTCCACTACTTATAAACTACGGCAAGAGTGATGTTTTTAATGCTGATGAACTTAGTCTTACTGTGATTGACGTGGATAAAGAGCTTGTTACAACAGATTTGCCTACAGAGCAGGATATTATTGACAAGATTAACGAAGATGAAGAAGAACCGGAAGAAGAAACGCCCACAATGTTTGATGACGCAATTAGAGGTACAAAAAATGTAAAACGATTTTTAGAACGTAAAATTAATACTGAAGATCGTATTTTAAGCGTGTCGCTGGAAATAGAAATGTATTTAGAGCAACAGATCCTTAAATCGCAAAAAACAAACTCATATAACAGACTTTTTTAGAAAGCAGTTTTAGGTATTTTATTAGGTAGACATACATACATATTTTGTGGTGCAAATAAAAAGTATATTTTTAATTTTGCTTTTAAGTTTTAAGAACAAAATCCATATATACTGTTATTCTATTGCTGCTTTTGTTAAACATGTGTATGTTTGTATTTTTGTTAAGAATTAATAAAACTTTTAATAATTTTTTTTAAAACGTACTTCTGATGTAACGTAGCGAATTTTTTAAGTGTCCGCCTGTACGTAATACCTAACCAAGTTTTACTGTATTAAATTCTGTGTAAATATTGGCAAGTTTGTCAAATTATACTCCAGCTAAAGCTATGAAAAAAGTCCTTAATATAAAATTAGAAAGTAACATAATTAAATGTATATGATGAATTGAACAAAGTGCAATATTTGTATATTTTACTATTTTGAAGATATCAAAATGAACGTCTTAGTACTAAAAACTTACGGAATGCTGCGAACAGTACTGAGAATCGTTAGGATTTTCGTAATTGTAAACGCTAACTTCATAATCAACTTGCTGAGGTTCCTGCACCTGTTTCTTCTCTACGGGACACATCCCCGCTTTTATCATCAATTCCTTAATGTGCTCCATTAGTTCAGCGCACGAATTATCTGGCACCGGCAATGTAATTCTTAAGAAACAAAAAGTATATTACAATCTTTTTAAACAAAAATGAAAAAATTTATACTTATTAATGTCAACTGTGGCAGGTTTCTTTTTAATCACCAGTTTTTTAGTCATATCGAATTCCTCGTATCCCTCATCAAAATCGAGCTTTTGGGGTGGAGCTTTTCTCCTTCCCCTCACTTGTTTTTCTTGAGTCATAACGATTCCGGAGAATTTTGTACTCGCCCGCTTAATAAATTTCAGCTTCCAATGACTGGGACCTGCCCATATTCGGTCTATGAGCTTGCCGGAATGGGTAGACACAACAGTATTGTAAGAATATTCAGACCTTTGCACTCCGCCTGTTATATCAGGCCTGAATTCAACGATATTCGCTATTTCTCCTCTAACTTGTGCGGCCACTTCTTCATGAATAGACCTGATGTCATCCCCAGCATCTAAATTTAACATTTATATTTGAAATGTCTGTTTTCATTTCTAAAACAGTCATTACACTTACCGTCTGGTGGGTTTTCAAATATATCATGAATTGATCCGTCCAGTTCATGCATCGGTATTCCGTTATCATCATAAATAACTTCTTGCTGTGTTTCCATAAGGGAAGACTTTTGCAAAGCCAATCTAAAACAAAATTGAATTTAACATGCAAAAAATTAAGATACTTGACATTTTAACGAGTCAGAAAGTAAACTTTTCCTTGGCGGTGCATAAATAAATGCCATTTGGTTCTGCAGTTACTGAAAAAAATGTTGAAAAACAACATTTTTATTGCAATTGATAATTTATTTTCTAACATAAGGAAAAACTTGTACAACAAATAATCATGCTCTAAAAATAATAATTTTATAAAAAAATAAAAAGTAATACTAGATAAAACATAATATACAGGACACTCGTAGCAGCTCGTAAAGAATTCACTTAAAATAGTTCTTAATACACGTTTGTTAATATTTTATGGTAATTTTCACTTACAGGCTGTTTAGATTTGAACCAGAACAACCGTGTGATTCAATGATGAGCACAAATTATTTTTCAAGAAAACTATTGGCCTTATGATGCAAATTTTTTACAGAGTTTAAAGTAAAAAAATGTGTTTTTAGTTATAGCACTACATTCTCGAAAAATCTCAAAAAGAGGAAATATAACTTCAAATTTATTTTACTTTTCGCCATTTTAGGTACCTAATTCATGTTCAAAATGAGGGACCAATATATTTTAAACATATAATAAAATCACTTACTGGTTCTCCTCGTCATCAGGATCCCAATCATCCACATGAAAATCACTAAATGGTACACAAAGTTTTATGTTTGCTAAGGGATTAACAGTTAGAGAATATTTTTTCCTGTTTGGATCATTAAGCTTCTGCACAGTTAGATCAGGTTGTTCAGTCCAAGCTTTTTCATTACTCCTATAGAAAAGTCGTTTTTAATTATTCTTAAATTAATTAACATGTAAATAATAATAAATAGAACTAATTGAATCTATTAACAAATCTAACTTACAGCAGCATGAATTTATATCCCAAGTTATCCATTTTAAGCCTATTAGTGAACAAATTATCTATTGCACTACTTTCAACATCAGTCCTCGTGGAAAAAAACACAGTGTCTAATTTTGGCAGCGGTCCTTGTAGAGTCTTAGGATCTCTAGAAATAGTGTTTTTCTCTCCTGCAAGCAGCCTCTTTTTCCTTTTCTTTTTCTTAGGTCTTGCATTTTCCTTGTCTGCTTCACCTATATCAACCTGGTCATCTAAAAACGAAAGTAGATGATTATTGATAACAAACATTTTAAAAACATTTTACTTACCTAAATTTTGTGATAATTGTTTATCCGACACCCTGGACATACTACTAGCTAACTTCAACCCGTCAGAATGGATATCATCCACTCTAATACTATAAACCTTAGCACTAATGTCCAAAGAGGTACTAGCAACTTGTAAAGTATCTGAACCTTGTTTCTGTGTTATATGATTCAAGAGGTCAATTATATGAAGCTTCCAAGCATTCTTTGGAGTTATTTTCTACAAAAGTTTATATTAATATCAACCCAAGAAATATATTTTTTTTATACATTTTCAGTAAATAGTTTTGTACATATCTGGAAGTGGTCTTTCATGTCTTGCTCTCCGAGAAATTTATTCGGTTCATTGAGAGGAGAAGCCGTATGAGGTACAACTGACAATCTCCTTTGCATATCAACAAGACTACGTCTCGAAGATCGCTCCTTTTCATCATTAACATTTTCCAAGGAAATAGTAGGTGTTGGTGCTATGCTTCTCCTTCGTAATGGGGATACTTCCATTGCATTTCTCATTACAGTTTTCCTGTGTAAATCTCTACCACCAAATGAATTTCTATTTAATGGCGTTGATGTTTCCATACTTCTAAAATCTAATAAATAAATTAATTAATTAATTCCGTATACTTAGAAATAAAAATTATTACCTATAACACAAAATCAAATAATATAAATAACTGTTTATAATTTGAGCTTGCAAAGTTCGTTACTTCGTTATCGTTATAGTGCCAAAAAAATTTATATGTTATACCAACTTAAATAAGAATGGAAGGAAAGGAGAAATTTATAAATTTGCACTAAAAAATAAGTTGTTTATCAGCGAAACATTTGTTCCTCAATCAATATCAAAGATGATGTTATGATCTTTTTTATACAAAAATATAATTTTAATAATTAATAACTAAAAAAAAGTTATGTATTTCAAACATTTCTATTTCCCTTTTTATTCACATCAAAATCCCTAAACAGTCGACCTTTTGTTTTCTTCTTCTTCTTCTTTAAGCTTGTCTGCTTGTCTCTCACTTTTGGGATCGTCATTAGCGTTTTATGTTTTTTTTCCAATAGATATGTGCCATATATTTATATGTACTACTATGCATATATTTAATGAATTTATGGTTGATATAACAATGGCAAACGTATGCTATTACACGAACTACTATAAATGGAACATTTGAACTATTTGCAATTATTTCATAGTTTGCATGTCTGCATATTGGGTTGGTGTTGGTACCGTTGAATGTTGACAACTTTGACAAGACAACATAACTTGACAACTTGACAGTGACTTGACAGCTGGAGAAATAGCAACGATCAGACAAATAAATTGCTGCAATCGGAATTGAAATGTCACAAAGTGGAAGTTCTGTTTAAACTTTTACTTTGCGAAGTTTTTTGAGAAATGACTAACATCTAAACTTATTCTAGTCATGTAAATAGCTATAAACTGACTATTAGCATAGCGTAGATAAAAAAAAATTCGTAAGATGGTGTCCATTATAAAAAATCAGTTGTTGAAACATTTATCTAGGTAAGTTTATCTTAATGTTATTCTAAGCTCCAATTTTATATTTGAAATTTGTAGGTTTACCAAAAATCTGTCTGCAGATAAAATAAACTTAAGTACTTTTAAAGGAGAAGGTGAATTATCGAATTTAGAATTAAATGAAATTGTCTTAACCGATTTATTAGAATTGCCTTCATGGTTACGATTAACCAAAGCGTGGTGCAATAAAGTTTCATTCAGAATCCCATGGACGAAGTTAAAAAGTGTTCCAATTATCTTGGTAAGTAAAATATTTATTTTAAATCTGACTAATTTTTCAACATATTTTTTTTTGATTTGTCAATGCCTTTTGTGAGAATTTACAGTCAGTAAGGAATCTGTTAATCAAAATATATGGTTAATGATATAGAAAATTTGTACCCTACTTGGTTTTGTATCATTTTTTCATAGAAATTTTGCCCATTTCATTGGCGATTAATGGGTATGAAGGGTGTGAATTATAATTGAACTTTGGTTTAAGTATCATCTTTACGAACACATGCATTATACAGGTACAAGTGTACACATTTATAATTAAACATAGCAATGAGTAAACAAGAAATAAAAATACATTTAATGCAATAAGTATGTAGGTACTTATTCAAGGGGTTTAATTTTGGGTACGATTCTGATGCAGTTATGTTCTTAACCTTGAATATATTTTATTCTGAATAAAATGTGGAATAAATAATTCACTGAAATAATGTTAATTAAATGTTCATCAAAATTCTTGATTTTGGTTGAGAACAAGTTTAAAAGCCAGTTTTGTGAGGTAAATAAATAAAATCAATTTATTTACCATCACTGATAATATTATCATAGAAATACACAAATCTAAAATTTTTCAAGAAATATGTTTCGATATTTTAGTTTTTATTCTGTTTAGAAAAATGTATTTATTTTTATATATTAATAATTGTTGTCTTTTCATTGTTTTTAAGAGATTATTGAACACGTGTGTTTCAAAAGTAAAATAATATCAAAATAAAATTTAAATAATTATAAATACAATTAAAATTTAAAATTGTGAAAAATAATAAAATTCATAAATCAGTTAATTTCAAATCTCAATGTAAACTGCTCTTATTGTATTTTTTTACTTTGCAATTTTGTTTGAAATGTTTCTGTCATAAATATTCTTTATGTGAACATAGAAATTATCTCCAGTACTGTTTTTTTTTATGTATGTAGTATATATTGTAAAATCATGATTTTTTTTTTATATTATGCTTTAATAAACTAAGATTTTGTTTTTAGAGTTTAGATGAAGTAAATATAACAGTAGAGACATGTGAGGAGCTTCGGTCTATGTCCGCTCAAGGAGGTTTGTCTTCATATGCCGCTGTACCAGGGAAGTACAGCTTTATTCATAAAGTCATAGATGGCATTACGGTTACAGTGAATACTGTTAATATATTATTTAATAGTCCTGCATTTATAGCTTCTGTTCAAGTATGTATAATTATTAAATATTGATTTACCCATATAAACTATATTTACAATTTACTATTAAATAAACATGGAAATATTCTTTGTTAGATATCAAGAATAGTGGTAGAATCAAAGAGTCCAAAATTTGCAAAATCTGAATTACGAATGACTCGTTTAAAAAATCCCGAAAAGGGTCAGCTGTTGATTTTTAAAGAGTTAGAATGGCAGACTGTTAGAATTGAGGCTAAATCAACAAAGGACAAAAATTTAACACCCTTGAGGCTTTTAACTAACCAAGCTAGATGTAGGATCGTTATTAAAAAAAGACTCTCAGGTATTATTAATGATTTCATCTAAATGTTTCGCTCTTTAAAATGTTTTTAGACTGTTTCATACTCGGTTCAAGACTGGTTATTATATTAGATGATTTATTATGGGTTCTAACAGACTCGCAATTGAAAGCAGCCCTGCATTTCTTGGATTCCCTGTCAGATCTTGTGCAAAAAGCCACTCAGATAACAAGAAAAACCAAAGCTGCTAGGAAACTGGAGGTAAGGAATTATCCTATTGTATCCTGAATTTTATAGATTTGTTTCTGTAGGAATTGCCAGAATATCAAGCTCAATTGGCTCAGGAAGCCCGACAGAGTGATGCGGGTAACAAATCATCTTCTAGAGTATTTGCTACTTACGACGTTGTGGAAACTTCGTACCATTTTCTTTCCAATCAGATAGTTTTACACTTGTGTGATGATCAGGGCTGTAAGTATGGATACTTTGACATTTTATACAACATGAGAATGAAATTTTTTCAGTGGGACGATCCTCCCATCCTAACTTGAAAGATGGAGGAGCTCTTCAGATAAGTGTCAAGAGATTTCAAGTTGATTACTATCCATATCATTTAGCAAAAGGTAATTTAAAACATGTGAGAATTCAATGTATACATACTGTTCTATACAGGTAATAGGAAACATTGGCCACGTTACAATGCAAGTTCTGTCCCGCATTCTATGTGGCAGGATCAAGCGTTGAACGCCTTTAAAACAAAATTCGTGGATCTCATAGATAAAAGTAAACTCCAGCACACACCTCTATCTAGGGTACCAAAGGTATATATCAAATTATATATTTTTACTTTTGCCTGAACAAAAAAAATTGTATTAGAAACTAAAATTTTGTTCTGTGATTTTTTAATCGTAGCAAGATGATGCAGTGCCAGTGCCTGAATCGAAGAAACCTTTGAGTCCAAATCAGAAGGAAATAAAAAGAAAAATAGAGAATCAGTTTGCAAAGCTAATGACCACTTGTATTATAATAAGGATAGAGGATTTCACTCTGTTTAAAGTTACCACTTCGGGAAAAAAACAGTCTCTAAAAGAATTTATTTGTGGTAAGTTTGTTTCGGTGTTATGTAATATTTGATTTACATTCTGTAGAATCATTGACATAAATTTAGCTTCAAATTTGAATTTTCTCTAGTTAGAGTTGCACAAAACTCCGTTCCAAGAAATTTAAGAAAAAAACTATTTTAACATGTAAAATAAAAATTTTTGTAAATATATGAATAGTGGTATAAAATTGTAATTTGTGTTAGTGATAGTATTATACAGGGTGTGCTTGTATTGTGACATATAGTGTTTACATTGAAATTAAATAATTTGGTTCAACCATTTAGATTTGCTCATAAAAATTTTGTTTATGTAAATGTACATTACAATTACAAAAGATTTTTTCTGAAAATACAACTCGTATTTGATCTAGTTAGTACAACACCCTGTACAATATAGGTTTTAAGCATTTTTAATGTGTTTGAGTAGTGTAAGTTACTAACACAACTTTATTTGGTAGCTCAACATAAAAGGAGAGATAAAAATTATACATCAGGTACAATATTTTTGAGAATTTTAAGTAGTTTTGGTGGTAGTGTATGGTTGAGTATCATACTGGTTGTGGTTCAATTTGTACTTTTCCTTTGTCGTGTTACATGCAAATAGAACTTTTCGTTTTATTATATATGCATATGTACATGAAGAGGTGTACTTTTTCAGAATGCATATCTATATCGTGACCTTAAAATAAATTGTTCATATTCTCTATGATCTAATACGAAACTTGGATATTTTTGAAAATATAAATATTTAGATTTTTATTTTGGTAGATCGAAGTAATTAATGAAGGTTTATATTGGAAAAATGCACCTTTTCTTTAGGCAAACAAGTTTAAAAAGGTATATAATTTTGCGTTTTGTTTTTCCTTATAATTGTCTAATAACAAAGTTGTCTGAAATATATTTTATTGCAAATATTTCTTTCTACTTTAATTATGGCAGAATACGTATAACTTTCTGACAAACTATAAATTTGTTTCTAGGCGATCGAGGACATATGATGTTACCAAAAGATGCAAGTATCGTTCATGCTGAATTTATATATTATTATTATCCCAACGACTTCCCTTTTCCTTGTAAGTATTATTTTTGGAGTATAATCTAACAAACATTAAAATAAAAATTTAATTTCATATTTCAGTGCCTCCTCCAAAATTTTATGTCCAATTAAATCCTATTTTGATAGTTTTCGACGTAGATAGTTGCCTCTGGTTAAATTCATTTGGTTTAAACTTGTACCAGTCTCTGATAGATTCCAAAAATGATGTTCAAGCTTCCAATTTTACTTATGTAGATGTGAAAATTGAGGCAATTCTTCCTAGGGTAAGAATTTAAAACTAGAATGTTCAGCTTAAGTATCGTTAGTATTTATATTACCAAAAGGTGATGATTTGATACTTAAATAGATTATTGAAAATTACTTCTACAATTGATTTGTTAATTTTGAAACCAAAAATAAGGAAAATGATAGAGATGGGCACTTTTTGGAGAAATGTGTTATGGACATGTCGGGAAAAGTACTTTTGACTGAATCTAATAAGACACCTATGAGTGACGTCAAATTTTCACAGGTCACTGCTTGAGGATACACAAAGCAAAATATCACTTTTATTCTAATGAATGTGTCTGTATATTTTACTTATTACCTACCTTTAGATTTTTTTATAAACTGGTTTCTAATTCTCCCCAGACAGCCAATACACTTACTTAAATGTTTTTCCATCCTACTGGAATTGTTAAAAATAGTTTTTGAGCATAAGTTACATTTATAATGATTTTCACTCAATTCAGAAAAATATAACCAAACTGTTGATTTTGACGTCATACTTCATTATTTATAAACTATTTGTATATTAAATATTAAATTAAGAATCAACTGATTACTATTTACTAATCGTTAACTTTGCAAAAAATAATAAAATATTGACATATAAGAGGTTATATTTTTAAAATGTTAGTTTCAGTTAAACAATTACCAACAAAATTATAAGAAAATAGCTAAATATCTTTAATTTTAAATGTACCAACCTCAAAAAATTTTTGCGGGAATTATGAATGCAACAAGTAATTTCGCTCATGCGCATACAACTTCAATCTTGAAAAGTGTTCGCAGGACATGTCCACTTTTCACGACATGTCCAACTGACGAACTGACATGATCGCGCCACATCTCTATAAAATAATAACAATTCCCGCCATAGTTCAGTCTTTGTATATATATAGAGAAGAAAAATTTAAAATATGTTTTATATATATTTTTTGTTAATTTCAAATAAAGCGACATTAAAGACCACCCCGTATTTTGTAACATTTTTCCAGGTAAACTTTGAAAGTGCTGTCGACCACCCAACCCAGAGAGACAGACCAAAGTGTCTTAGCTTCCAAGTAACTAGAGCCACGATAACAAATGTTCGTAGCCTAGAACAGTCCTCCAGAGCTGACCTTGCCAAGTGCGTTGACTCTTTCCATATGGGCTCCCTATTTTTCGGATCCGACTTTCCCTCTAAACCCAGTGATTTTTATATAGTTACTCAGAAATTCCTCGATCACATTGCTGCAAGTGATAATATCCGTAATGTGCCTAATCAATTAGACATATCTTCATTAGATGCTCTGGTATGTATCGAAGCACATATTTTATAAGTTCATCAAGGTTAGTCCCGTTGCAGATAGAACAATTTAGTCGTGAAATGCTATGGATAGATGCGAAAGATGTGTGGTGTATCAATCTAGATCCCGTGTGGGGCGATTTTCACGGTGTTAGGGCAGTCGGCGTGAATAAACCTGTACCGTTCCTAGATGCCATTCCAGTAACGATTTGGCTTCATACGCACTTGGATCCTAACTCCACTCTAAAGCCAAACGATTTGGGAACACCTGGCACGATCAATGCCGACATTCACGCCCTAGCCCATATTTCCCATCTCGTCAGTGTTCAAATAAACCATTATCAGTATCTGTTCTTACTAAGGCTAGTTGAAGATATTTCTGAGATGGCTACCTTTTTATCGATGGATTCCGACCGGATTTTAAAGGTTAGATGTGAAAAGTCTGTTAATGAAATAGGGTCGTTTACATTTATTCATTTATTTATTTTATTTTATTAATTATTATTTCATTATTATGTCACTAGGTTGAAAGTAATAGTTCAATTGCGATAGGAGCATTAATACCTTCCGTGGAGGTAACACTAGTAATGCCGTCCCAATGTCCCGGAAAAGAGTCTTCAGGTGAAGATGTTGAGTCTTTTGTTCCAGATTCTTCCAGTATCGCTGATGATGTGCCTGTGGGTAAGTAAACCATGAACATATTAACAAAATAATAACAGATAATTTACCTGCTGGATAATAATATGCGGCCACTTCTCCCGCACAAGTCATCGACTTCCTGGCTAATTTTTGTGATTAAAATGAATTATTATTATTATTATTATAAATAATGTATTTAGGATCGACGGCTACAGTTTGGCAGAACAGTATATCGGCTATACAAGAATCCGAGTCCTGGTTGGCCAATGGTTCTGGTAAGCCCTTGGAAATATCGTCAAGTTACTCGATGGACTTTGCACCTCAACAAAAAGATATGAAGTCTCTTTCAAAAACAGCAAATTCGCCTCTTCAGCCACAGTTAGGAAATATCAATTTACCAAATAATTTCAATGCAGGTAAATCCAAGACCTCAAATGCTAACATGCTACAAATTTTTTTAAAATGTAACATTTGTTTGTTGTAGGGTTTACTTCCATGAAAAAAGGATTCAGTAATTTAATGTCTTCTCTCGATAGCGCGTTGAAGCCGAGTCCTGACGATGCGAGCGACACGATTTCCATAAGAAGCGACGCCTCAAGTGATTCAGAATTTCTTTTAATAAATTGTGAGGTGGACATGCCGGGAATTGATCTGATGTTTGTCGTTAACGAATTTACATATGAACAAGTGAGTGTTGAGGAGGCGGCAGAGGTAATTGAGGAGGAAAGTACGTTGTCCACGAGTGAACATTCAATGGCCAGTAGTTGCAGGAGGAAAGATTTGGTGAGTAGTAATATTGTCAGATGAATTTTGCAGTTATTGCTCTAAATGTAAATTTTTGTTTTAGATATCTGTTTCCACATTTAAACTGAATAAAGTGGAATTTCTTCAGCAGTCATTGGGTTATTCTTCTTCCATAAAGGTACAGGTTGGTGCGGTGTCGAATGAAGATTGCTCGTCCATTCCATGGGACGAATTCCAGGTATGTATTTTTTTTCCATTACGTTAAAATATTTGAGTCGGAAGAATTATTTTTGTTGTATATATTTTATTACGATAAATTTTTTTATTTGCTTTTCAGTTTGACTTTGATATACAATTTTAAACTTACATTATTTTCTAACAATTTTTCCAAATTTCATTTGACATTTATAGCAACACATTTTTTTACTTATGTATTTTAAAAGTTTTCGTAATACAGAAAGCTCTTAAAGTTATAAACCATAACAGTTAAGTTTTCAAACGGAAATAAAAATAATTTCAAATTATTTTTATTAACGATTTTGAAAATTATATGGAGAAATTTGATATTATCTCTACAAGAAATATAAAAATAATAAATAATAAAATGACATGAGCAGAAAGAATTACAATCACTTTTTCTTGAATTTAAACTTTTTATTACAAACTACTCTTTTCACATATTTTCTCATGTTTTTTTTGCATGCATCTGAATGTTTTGTGTCACACAGGCCAAAAAGGTATTGATTTAATATTTTACATTTTGTGCATTGTGCATTGCATGTTTTAAAGGCAAATTTAAAAAAAATACATATTATTTTAAAAGCCTCGTAAAATATGCAAGCTCTATTTTCAATATTAGCAATTTGTTAGTAAATTTTTTAATCAGTAATCCTTTTTCAAAAATAAGTGACGAACGGTAAGTTTAGATATATTACAGGTTTTGCTTTCCACTGATTTTTTTCTGCATGAGTTTTTGAATGGCTAGCAGCTTTGTAGAGTATATATATATATATGAGTTTATACATACAAATATTAATAGAAAATAGAATTTGGGTAATATATGTTCAAGCAATAGATATTGTAGAATTAAGAACTAATTTTTAGACCTAGAAAATAAACAAAAATGATTTAAGAAGCAACATACCATGTATTTCTTTTAATAGGTCATTATTGCAACATATGAATAAAAAAATCAGAGAGTAAAAAGATTTAAGTGCAGAATAGACAACCAAACAGAATAATTTATTAAGAAATTCCCTTTGAAAAGAACGGTGTGTTGTTTATGGCGTAAGTTGGCAGTCAACTTTTATGTTGATATTAATACGTGTTATAGTCTTTCTGAAGTCAGTTGAACATGTAAAAAAACGCCTGGCAATAAAATTTAATTTAATGAGTTTCATAGGCGTCCCTAAATAAGTTTTCTGATAAAGGTAAAAAATTATAATAATTTGTATGTAATGTGCAGAAAATTTTTATTATATGTTCATTTGGCCAACATATTTTAATTATTTATGTCCTCAAACAGTTTTATTATATTGATGGTAAATTTCGTTTTGTTCCGTTTCAAAAGGTCTCCAAAATGCCATGTTGTAATAATATTATTTCTCCCTTTCGCAATTGTAATATCAATGATTAATAGAAGGTGTCTATAATAAATTAAAATTACCTTAATCACACCAAATTCCACATTGCTGCACTGCACTGCTGGGCAATTTGTCGATCACTTGTCAACGGGTGAGATTTATTGCCCAGTGGCCCAATGCGACTGTATTTGTATTTCGTTTGCCCGCACTCGCATTCTTCAACTGGGCGTATACGTTTCTACCACCTCCACCTGTATATGGGGTATGGCTAAATAAATATGGGAACAAGTTTTTCAAATATTTCAGTGCCGAGTTGCTGCGTCAGCGACTGAATCTAGTACATACTGTCATTTTCTAGGTTCTTCAATTGATATCGGAAATACTATACTATATTTAGCGTCTCTATACGATAACATACATGATGGTCCATCTACAAGGGGTAGTTTCACGAAAACGGAAATTGCCACTAAGTATCAGTAGCTCGCAGATATCATTTAGGCTCCATTTCATGCATATGTTTATCGTCGGCTCACTAATCAGACTATTGCCACTGCATAAGCTGAATACTGTCTGCAGATCAGCGCACTAATAACGTCTGTTTGTAAATGAACTACAACCTGATTCTGGTGTTTATTTAAAGCTCGCTAATCATTTTTTTCATAGATGGATTTTATTCTCTTTTATTCCGCAGAGCAAATTTAGCACGAGATCCCGAGCGTGGGCGGAAAACCCAACCCATACCGCAGCAAGTTCTAAAGTAAAACTTCGGTTAGACCATACCTTAATGCTACCCAGTTCAAAATCGATGCTGGAATTAGATTTCACCAACAGAGAGAATCTTATGAGACTTTTTAGGGACATGCTCATCGTGGAAGTTCGTGATTTGGCCTTGACGATGAATATGAGTACAGTAACGGGACTGGCGGATTTGATAGAGGATGAGATTATTCCAGTGCCAATTCCTATGCAGGTGGGTAAATAACGAGATTTGCCTTAAAATTTTGTGAAAATATGAGGAACATTTCTATTAAGGACATAGTTGGAATCAATTTATTAGGAATGTTCCTGTCAAGGACAAAGCAAAGCAGTAACTAAAAGCAGTTAGCAGCCTTCTTTAATGGAAAATTCAGTTACTGGAACATACTCGTTACATATTTTACGAAAAATTATATATTTTCCAGCCTGATTTCCGCTTTCATGCCGATTCGTTAGCCAGTCGTTGCTTGCTGTGGTATGATTAAATAAGCTGTGTTATCCTGATCGTCTCTTATCTTTGTCTTACATGAAAGCTAAATCTGATAATTATTTAGAAGGCTTTGCGAGTTTCCATCATAGATAACTATAGTATAAGCTTGAGCTGCCGTAACTGACTGCTTTACAATGACCAGCATTTTGTACACATAAAAACCAACAAATTTAAATTTATGCCCATAATAAACAAACATACAGAAAATAGGCAATACAGCTTTAACTTTATTATTATTTATAGACCATTAAACCACTATTTATTTATTTATTTAGAGTACATCCAAGAAAACTATTTTTTTTTTCTTAGCAGAAACTGCGACTGCCGGATTTGTTCTCGGTTAAAGAACGCTGCTCTTCTCATTTGAACAAACACCTTGTTCTTGATTTATTCCTCTTTATCTGTCCTCAATCTGTTAATTCTTAGCCTTATTCCTAAAAATGGCTTTTATTGACACGTTCAGACTGAATTGTTTGATTCGTCACTGCGTTCTTTGTAATGAACTTCCCTGTTTAGAAGTACTTAGATTTAGTAAAGACACTCAATCAATCAAGTCATGAAAAATGTACGTCTCGTCACAATCGCAACACTTGTAGTGATAAATATGTATATCCTAGGTATCAATTGAAAATGTCCAAATACGTTTGAATGAAGATCGTCCTCCTGTAAATATAACCTCCCCGGGGCCTGTGCCCATAGATCTGAATGTCACCCAACTTTACATAGTAAGAAACGAAGACGGAGTTTTCAATATAGAACCACTTAAAACTACAAGCACTTCTTCTACTTCATCTCTCGTAGCAGGTAGATATTGCAAGTGTTTCTTATATTAAACATATTAATATTGTGTTCAATCGTTCAGTTCAAGAAACGGAGCAACATTCAAAACTCAACAGGCAGCTGTCGGCAGATAACGAGGAGTTGAAGAGGCGCCTTCAAGCCTTCGAGAGAATCTCGGAGGAGAATCGTTTGTTACGTAAAACTAAAGAGGAGACGGATATCCTCCGTTCTTGCCTCAAGACTTCCCAGGACGAAGTGATTCGACTTTTGGATGAGAAGAAAAAGTTACTGGATGAAATCAAGGAAATGCAAGACCAAATGTCTGCGGATCGAGGTTGGCAGTGGAACAGTAGTAAGAGATAGCAATGTTGTTTTGACTGCACAAACTGCTGTAGTAACATTAAACGTACGCAGTAGTTAGGCGGTCGTTTGTTTTATTTTTTAAGCTGATATTTAGGTTGCGTTTAGGCTAAAGCTAGTATGAAGTTTTTTATGAAATTATTCCGAGTCTCAAAGTGCAAATTTAAACTTGTAGTGCTCCTAGAACTTGACAATAATTGCTTTATTTTAGTCGCTTTGGTGTCTAGCTTGTTTTCTGTTATTGTACTATATCCTAATATATTCTTGTTCTCTCTTCTTCTAGCTTCACCAGGCTTTTGTGACTAGTTGATTAGTTTCAAATCAGATTTTGCCTATTGCTGGGGGAGTGGCAATTTCCTTAACTTTTTTATGCAAATGACTTTTTTTTTTCTTTAAATAGTCCTACTGTTTTATATGATATATAAAAATATGTTGCAGTATAACATATTATTCAACTTATTGTACATATAAGAGATATTTATATTTTTCTTTTTAACGATCAGACAAAAATTACATATTACAAATGCTGAACTTTAAATCAAGGCCAATTTTTCTCATGTAGCATTAGTTTGAACGCAACCAAACGTAGTTTTATATGAGTCGCAGTAATAGTCTACAGTTAAGCAGAGCTTATTTTTCACAATGAAACTTGTAAATGGAAATTTTCAAAAAATTCATGTGTTAAAAATGCCAAAATGACAACATAAAGTATTTTAATCAAATTACAAAAATTTAAGTAATTAGAGAATATATTTTTTTTGTTTATACTAAATATTTGTAATGTAATACTTTTTGAGAAATTTTTTCAAGAATCTCTTTGCTTCTCTAGATTATTCTATTGCGAAGATTTATTACATATATACCTATTTTTCTTAAATATTGGGATTATAGACATGATTAATTTCTAGCGGGAAAATATTTTTATACATTTCTTAAATCACCATTTTATTGGAAAAAAATGTCTTACTTAATGTATATTCTGGAGATGTTGATTTTCTACCAATTTAAATAGTAAATTTTTAAAAGTAACTCGAAGAATGTGCTATATTTATGTTAAGTGACCACAAACATAAATTATTTCAGTCAATAATTTTTTTAGAGATGGGCACTTTTCAGAAAAGTGTTACAGACATGTCTGTTAGGCATGTCGATGAAAAGTCCGGACATGTCGGGAAAAGTATTTATGACCTTGAATCTAATAAGACACCTATAAGTGACGTCATGTTTTCACAGGTTACTGCATGAGGGTACACAAAGCAAAATATTACTTTTATTCTAATGAATATGTGTCGATATATTTTACTTATTATCTACCTTTAGACTTTTTTATAAACTGGTTCCTAACTTTCCCCGGACAGCCAGTACACTTATTCAAATGTTTTTCTATGCTACTGGAATTCTTAAAAATTGTTTTTGAGCAGAAGTTATATTTAAAATGATTTTTACTCAATTCAGAAAAATATATATAACCAAACTGTTGATTTTGGCGTCGTACTTCATTTATAAACTATTTGTGTATTAAATATTAAATTAAGAATCAACTGTTTACTAATCGTTAACTTTGCCAAAAATAATAAAATATGGATATATAAAAGAGGTTATATTTTTAAAATGTCAGTTTCAGTTAAACAATTACCAACAAAATTACACTAAAATAGCTAAATATCCACATACTTCTATCCGATAGAAGTACATATGTGTAAATATCTAATTTTACATGTACCAACCTCAAAAAATTTTTGCGGGAATTATGAATGCAACAAATAATTCCGCGCATGCGCGTACAACTTTTCAATCTTGAAAAGTGTCCTCCCTCAGGACATGTCCACCTTTCACGACATGTCCGCAGCACGTCTCTAAATTTTTTATTTCTTTGCTATGTTATAGTTTCACATCTTCACATCTCATTTCTGATGTTAAAAGAAATTAATTTTCTTTTCAGACAACAAAAATCTTAAAAGTTAACATCTCTAGACTGTTAATTTAAGTATATATGTTACCAATGATTTCCTTTTTAATACAGAAGTAGATAAAATAATATCCGTGTGATGCAAAATATTTGCCATATAATGGAATCCACTATTTTTTAATGTCCACTTACAGTTTTACTGCAAATTTGCACTCACTGAATAAATTTGCGGTACTAATTTGGGAAAGGATTAGGAAGTCAAAACTTGAAACATCACCTTACACTTACACACTTGTGTTACGTAAAATGAAGTATCAACTCAACTTTAACTTTTATAACTTTGCAAAATATTAATAAGGTAGCGTTGTGTATTTCATATTAGTGTTACTCACGTCTTCCTATCTTTTCCTACTTTCAGTTTTAGTTATATGGCGATTGTATGTGTATTTACAGTTTTGGAACTGACGGTTGTGCTGTATGTGGTACATTCAGATTTTGAAAGAATACATCTAGTGTAGACTCAAAACTTTTTATTCTTTCATTATTTAGGTATCCATTTTTTTTTATTTTGTAAAAACATTGTGCAATATTAAGTTTTTTAATTTCAGTAATAGACTTACCGACTCAAAACAATGCAGCATAAAATGTGACACTACATGTACGCTTCATCAAAAAAAATTGTCCCTTCAAATTAAGGTTGTATATATTTTGTGATTCATTAATTTTTGTATATAATTGCTTAGATTGATATATATTGCCAAAGAAAAGTGTAATATGGTAAACAATGCAAGTGTGAAACTTGTTTGTAATTTTTTATGGATATAAAAAAAATTACTTGTGCAACAGTTATAATCTTTATAAACGAAATAATGGATGTTGTGCCAAAGCTACTTTAGAAAAACTAATAAAATGTAAATTTAAATAAACTGTGACTTTTTTCTTCAAATGGCATGGTTGGGCAAATGTTAGTTATTAAGTGTAAACATGTTTTGAAACTTCTGACCGATTTCTCTCCACTTACTGAAAACTTGTGAATATGTTTTATTACAATTTTCTGTTGATTTATTTGTTTTTAAATCGATAATAAAATTAAATTACTGTAAAAACTCCTAGTGCAAAAATATGTTTCTTCGTAATGTTTTGTACGAAGTTTAAAAAAACAAATATTCCATCGTCACCACATATATCCATAAAAAATATCAATAGATTTTTTAAGTCTCGACTCATTTATCATCCATCCACTGTAAACACACTTATTATTAGTAATAGCATTTTATAAACCCTTCTTATTAAAATGTTATTACGTGTTATGTATATTCTCGTATTTATAGAAAATATATATATTAAACTTGTTAGAATATGTTCCAATGTTTTTTATTATTTAATTACATATGCAATACATTTAAGTACTTATTTATTAGGCTGTCACATACATATATTGAAATAAAATGTTTTTCATGAATTGTAGAGTAGTATATTTAATTTCTTACAAAGTACATGGCAATTACAAATAAATAAATTACGTGAGGGTAAAGTATCGCTAGAACTGGTCAAACCTTTTCTTCTATATTACCTTCGGCTGGTGGTGAACTTTCAGGTCCAGTTTCATAAGTTGATTTATTCTTTAATAAGTATGCAGCCAAAGCAGAAATTGGTTCTGGTGGCCTTTCCTTGGCAAGGTATGAGAGGGCGTTCATCAGTATAGGCACTACGGTTTGATCGAGGTATTGTCTTGTTGGCAAAGATGACAGATCTACACGGGTTTTCTTTGGAACATTTTCTTGGTTTTCCATTTTCAATGCTGCCTGTATAAACCAAAATTACAATTTTTGATACACAAAACTACAATCAGCTTTTCTACAGTCTTAATTTGATAAAAATAAATAAATACTTGTCAAATTCATTTAGTCGACAGATTGGTTGCCTCGACAATTGAATAATTTATATATTTTCATTACCCTAGATAGTACAATATAAATGACGATTGTAACAATATATAGCCAACAATAAAATGTAAAGCGATTAATTTATATAAGTTAAAAGATTTTTAATATTACCTTATAACAAAATATTACTTTAAAATCCATAATATAATTCATATTTTCAGTATGCTGGGTTTGGAAATTTTGATTGTACTGAATATTCAAATATTTACATCAAAAACAACTTTTAAACTATCTACATAGTACACAACAAACAAAAATGTTTATGACATGTACAAAATTCGTCAGCATTCACTAATAAAATCATATTCTTTTATTATATCCACATAAAGATCTATAGTCATTTCAATGGTGGTCTTAACCTGAAAAATGTTTTACATTTTACCTTTATTAATCGGCAGTATGTAGGATCTCCAACTAAATTACAAACTTCTGCAGAAATCTCCTGTTCAGTTAAAGTTGTTTGATTAAAATCCTTCGAACCTAGTCAAACGATAATGGATTATAAAAAGTAGAACGAACGGATGAAGCAAAATAAATAACTGTCAAAAAAAAACAAATTTCAAATATGACGTTTGAACTAACTGGACAATGCTACTTTTAACCTACGATGTATATTACCTACGATTTTAAAAGTTTATCCAACTTGTTAAAATTTGTTTACAGAAAATGTTTAATAATAATTTATTATTTTAAGTAATTGTTTAATGTTATTATTTAAATTTCTAGTACCGGATTTTTTGTCTTCAAAATCTGCTGCTTTTCCCATGTCTTTGTTTCCATTGATTGCTTCACCTAGTTTCAATAGACTGCTGTTGGTGGAGGTTTTTCTTTCATCTTGATTTGTTTCTTCATTTTGAGGAATCATTTTTAAAATTTATTAATGTTTAACCGTTGTTAAGTGATCATTTGTTTTACTGTTTTCGAATGGAATAATGAAAGTGCGTATCAAAAGTAAGTATTTACATAACCTAGGTTTGAAAAACAATACATAGTACTCAATTAATATTGTTTATATCAGTTTTACATTTTATTATAGATTGGACCGGAGTAGCTACTTGGAGATGGGTAGCTAATGACGACAATTGTGGAATATGTCGAATGCCTTTCGATGGGTGCTGTCCTGATTGTAAGTTACCTGGTGATGATTGCCCCTTAGTTTGGGGTCAGTGTTCTCATTGCTTTCATATGCACTGCATAGTAAAGTGGCTACAGTCTCAACCTGTTAATCAGCAGTGTCCCATGTGCAGGCAGGAGTGGAAATTTAATAACAAATAGGTAGGTAAGTCGTTACATATGTGCTACTGTCCTCCATTTATTTACTAATACGGGAGACAGAGAGGAGTTACTTAAATAACTATTCTGTAATAACAGTCTAGTATGTAAGAAATAACAATGGTATATGGTTTGAATTAAAATTTTTATGAGTTTTCAGCGAAATTGCTTATACGTTCAGTGACAAAATGCTACACATTTTTTTGATACAAACATTCCATTGCGAAATTTCAGACAGTTGCAAAATTGCAAGCATTTGCAGAACATTGTAAACAATTGTAGTCAGTCGCAAATAGTTGCAGACAAGTACATATACATCTACAAACAATTCTACATACTACAAACAATTCCAAGTAAATATCTAAATTTGTATAATTGCACAAAATTATTTTTTGCTTTTAACAAGGTTTAAAATTACATCTGCATAAATTGTGAAATAGTCTGGCCTGTTATCTGATGTATGAATGAATATTAGTATCTTATTTTTGTCATCTTTATCACCTTCGCAATCAGTAATTGTGAATCTATTTAATTTCTCTTAAGGACCATTTAAAGTACGAATGAACAAGGATTTACATTAATTATTAATTATTGCGGGATAATGTTGCCGAGCTTTTCATTTTTAACATTTGCATTAGGTTTGCCGGAATACTAGACTCTTCATAATATAATGTAACTGATGAAAATTCCTAGCAAAATATTTCTCATTGTTAATTAGATATATTATCGTGAAATTGAACATTTAAAGTTACTCTTTAAATAATGAGGTGTGTTTCCAGGGTATCATTAAACGAACTGCTATTGTTACTGACATATAAATATCTGCATTTTTTTTTTTTTTAGTACATACATCTGACATGCTCTTTCACAGTTGCGGTTACAGGCATAATAAATTTCGAACATATTATGCTTATCTTCATTTTCAACATTTGCCAAAACGGAAAGGTTTTTGAACATTCACTGCAATTTTTTAAATTATAATATTCATTTGGAGTTTTGGTAGTTTGTATGCATTTTTAAGAATTAATTTGTCATAATTAAATTAAAATTGTAATAACGTTGTAATTTTGACGCAATAACTTATTGAATTATGTATGACCAGGTGATGGAGATTAAAACTCTAATAATGTTTTATTGTAACTTTTGATGGTAATAGTTTAAATAACTAGGTGGATTTCACAGGGTCTAAAGACACTTAGAGTGTACGATAATTCAATAAACATAAAATCTTAATAAAAAATTTAGATAAATTTGGAAAGAATACATTGAAGGTGAATTTTTCGAGACAAAACCTCTGGTTGGGGCTATTGGGGATGCAGGCTTGCAAAAAATGTAATAAAATTTCCAGGATCATATTTAAAAAAATTAGTTGATGACCCTGTAGAGACGAAACGAAAAAATTGATTAAGCTCTTCGATAGAGGGCAAAAAGTTGCCATAAGGAAGTCTTTTTTTTTTCCAATGTCACCTCAAACAAGGCTGAAATGAAACAAAAACGGATTTCCAAAATTTCGTTTTTTTTTTCAAATATTTCGAAAACTAATCATGTTAGCCTTGATTTTTTAGAGGCATAATGTTAGTCTCCTGTTTATGCAACTTTGCCCAAATTTAAGTTACTTCGCATCTCTTACAGTTTCCGAGATTCCTGTAGTGAGAAGCGAATACGTTAAATTTACTAGACAATTAATAGAATTAAATAATACAATTAAGTTTGCTGTTACAGTTTTTTTGACAACAATTTTAAATCAAAAAATCTTGAAGATAAATATAATAAATAGGTAAACAATTAAAAAAGTTCTAAGAAACAAATCATCAGGTATGTAGAAAGACGAAGTGAGATTCGCCATTAGCACTTCCTTAGAAACCATTGAAGTGTATATTATCTACACTTCTCATTTCTCATTTATACCGACGATTATATTTCACCTCAACAAAAACTCAAATATGTCGGTTCTTGCGACTTGCGATATACACACCAGGTATTTCAAAAACGTGTTTTAATTCTACGCATTTCCCACGTTTGTGGATACTGTAATGGAAGGTTGTGAGAAAATTCTAGTCGCTGTGACAACGTCATAGATACGGAGCTGGATACGAGGGTATTGCAAAAAGTATGAGCAGATTGAAGGGGCCCCCCAAATATTTGAAACTTTCGGGCTTGGAAGATCCCTATTTTAGATAAAGGTTGAGGGTTTTGAAACCACAAAATACATTACAGAAAACACATACAAACAAATACTTACCGCCATGTTCTAAAGAAGTAGATTGGTGACGTGAGTAAAAATATTGTTATCGACAACCATCGTTGTATGACCGTCGTACTGATTTGCATTATACCGCGTTTAAGACTGTCAAATACAGGGTATTTTGCAGTCAAAATAAGACGGTTTATTTAAGCTTTCGTTTAACCGAAATGATTTGTTTAGAGATTTACAAGAAAATTCAATTTCCAAGTGAATTTGATATGTTACTTGTGTATAGACGTCACTATTTAACATAGCAACAAAAGTAATTGTATATACAGAAATGCGAAAAGTACCCCCACCCCTAAGTATGAGTTGTTTTTCCTTTTCCAAATTATTTTTCGATTGCAAATTTTTACGCGTGCTAAGGTTTTCGAGTAATAAATTGTCTGTCAGTAAACACTAAAGAGCAACATCAAATAAAAATTGTTGTTTTTAATTAGATGATATGGGTATTGTAACAATATAGAATTGTACTTACAAAATAAAATAAAATTGTAACACGCGCATTTCTAGTTTAGCCTAGCGAGCATCACAAAGGGCTAAGGTCACTTCGCGACGTTGTTGCAACAACTTATATTAGTTGGGCAGCTCTAGAAGCGGTCGCGGTACGCGAAATAGGGAAGGTCAGGAAAGTTATTAGTCAGTTCCTAAAGTTTTTTGCTTCTTTAATAGACCGTGGCAAATTTAAGTCAATAGTTGTAAATATGTAAATGATTATATTTATTAATAGCGGAAATAATTTATATAATTATTTCAGTGCATCAAATACAGAAAGTATTGATTTTTTCCATTAACTATTAATAGAGGTAATTAAATTATTTGTAGTACTACTTTCTCCTACCTATTAATGTATCACATAAACAATATTCCAAAAACTACGTAAGCATGACCCACAAGTATTTCAGGTAATGAGTTTATTTTTATTAGATACTTAAAAATTAACTTATCAACTTTCTAAACACTGCGTATAAAATAACTAGGTACGTTGTTATCCTGTAAACTTGGATAGAAAATATGTATATACATAAGACAACAGCTGTTGTCATTTAGTAAATTAACGATTATTGTTACCACTAATAATGTCAATAGATATGAAACTTTTTTTATATACATTGGTAGCTATATCTAGATTTTACAGTTTTATAAATTTGAAATAGTATCTGTTAAGTATGTCCTGGAACAACCACAATAAGCACACATAGTGTGATAAATGTTCAATTGTTAAATTATGTCTGTTTGCACTTAATATGTCTATAAGCCTTTCTAATATTTATATTACATTTATGGAAGTTTAAGATACTGTCGATTATAGAGTTAAATTAACTAGTAATACATAATACATTGCACGTGTTAATATGTTTTAATACATAGTCGTATCCCTAGGGAAAAAAATACGCACGGTTATGTTTAGAATGAGATGGACACGTATAGACAAGGACAAACGTAAACAAAACGCCGCTCTTTAGTCATCAGTAACCTAGTCACCAAAGTGTTTTCGATAAAAATTTGATTCAATTAACATCAAAAATTGATATATTTGAAATAAAACTTTGTTAAGTTCCGAAACTTGGAATGGAATATTCTTGAACGAAAATTTTTCAAACCAATTTATATGGATTTTTTTTGTAATACCACATGCCTAAAAAGATAAAATGCCTTTTTATCAGATAAAATACTAACTCTGCCTATGCACTAAATAAAAATGTTATTCTTTCTTTTTCAATATGACATTTTTTTCATTTATTTGGGACAAAAACAATTGAAATTCGTTGTTTTTACAGGAAAAACGTATTTTTTCAAACAAAAAATAATTAGCAAATTTTAAAGTTCAGGTATTAAATAAGCTTTAAGTGTAGTAAGTAAAGTAAGTATTTATTTAATCTTTCTCGTAAAGAAACCTTAGGGAGGCACTGACTCCCCCGTTTCTAAAAAAAACTGCCACTGTGTAGGAAATTTTAATTATTCTATCACGCTCCATTTTAGTTTAGACAGTCTGACTGATACCGAATGGCAATTGCCTAATTATTTCTTCTCAAATAATTTTCTGACCGATTGTATTATCTGGACTATCATCAAAATATGTGTATTACTGTAACTTATTTGTGTTATAGCTCTTTTTACTGTTAGACTAAATATTAGTTGTCAGAATTGTAATTTTTTAACATACAACTATACAGTATTCGTAAGAACTCGGAATAACAGTTTTATTATTACGATTATTTTACTTGCAAAGCTTAATATTCCCATTGTCATCGCATTCTTTTATATTATCTAAAATCGGGGCAAATACAACTCAAACATATTGAAGTTAGTTCGACTCTGGTTCGGCAAAAAATACCTTAGAACGACAATTGTGACTATCGCCCTCTTTTCGACAGTATCCAAACTATAGAAATGTTGAAGTACGAAGGATTCCTTAAATTTTTCGGCGTGAAAAGATGACGCATAATATAAAACTTCAGAACATGTACGTTTCCTATTTTGTCCAATTGGTTTATAAAACTACTCAATAATTCTTATTAATTCATATGTAAATGATATCCTAAAAGCATTCTGCTGGGTGTGACTATGTTTATAATACCGTACGCGTTTATCTGTATGTTCAACAGTTGTGTAAAGTTCAGGAAACGTAAGATAAATAATTAAGTTTTTTTTCCTTACTTAAAATGTGTTGTCAGTTGTCTCACACCCTGAAGAAAACTTGTATGAGTAGTACAGTGAAGATATATCGTTTCTAACCTGCTTAGATTTTTTAGACAATAGGACAAAAAATTCATTGAAAATTGCGCATAAAAACGCCCGCTTTAATTCTGCTATCCTGTTTACGAAGTTCTGGTGAAGGCGCTGAAGCAAATACATAATTAATATGAACCCGTCATATTTATTCGAGTATTTATTTAAATGTGTTGTTTTCGAATATTTCTCTCTTTTGGTATCCACAGAAGCTATTATTCCTAAACCGCTACTATTATTTGTAAACGATTCTGTTGCTTTTTAATTAATTTTTCAGGAGTTTATTTAACCTATACTAATCCTTACCCTCCCCACCTGTTTTATTAAAAACATGTGAAAGATGCTTGTTTTAAAACTGTTTATTCACGAATTTTTTATAACATTGACTGTCTGGAAGTCAACTATCGATCGGATTTTCCTTTCCGAGAGACCCAACACAAATTTACAGTATCGCCGGGGACGGCTCGTTATTTACCTCCCCCACCTCGTGGGTTCTACCTGTTGTGCGGAACGAGCAGCTGTTGATTACCTTCCTCGAAAATTCAGCCTTCAGTCCGCGATAGGCGCGAGCGAGAAGAGGCTGTCGCGATTGTCGGAAGCCGCGCGCGCGCTTATCACGTAACAGCACACCGCCGAAAGCTATGAATCACCACGAGGTGGCCGAATTAACTCGCGAAGGGATCGTCAATTAAGATTCCCCCGCGTGCCGCACATAAAATGATTATGATCAATTCAAGCTCGGCCCAGAAAGTGGGGAAACCACCCCCGCCAGTGCCGCCCCGGCCTTCCAAAAGTGTAGTCGCCGAGGCCCTGGCCAAGTCGCGTCACCACAACAAAGTGATCTCCATCAGGGAGGCGGAAAAAACAAAATCACCCACGAGGCAGGCACCGCCGCCCCCGACCCCGCGGAACGAGCTTACAAAGTCTAAATCCACTTATTCCATCAACATCCCCCTGAAGAAACCCATGGTTTTCGAGAGATCCATCTCGGAGGAAGTGAAGAACACTTCAAGACCGGTAATTTATCAGTCCTCGAACGTGAAGTGCAACAATAACAATAATAGTGTGCAAATAACGAGGGGGACCAGTGACGTAAAAATTGTAAATAACAATACGAGTAGCCTTCGCAATAGGCTGGTTGGTAAACAGGAAAAATTGGAAGAGGAAGACAGGAGTCGTGTTCAGGTGTCTCGAAAGGAGTCGGTTAAACGTGAGAAGTTCCGTGGGGAGGAATTTATAGTGAAACATAATGAAGGAAGTGATGGTAAGGGAATATAAGAAGGGCGAAGCACCTTCTTGGGTTTAGCTTTTGATCCGTGCTTGAAGGTTCATTTAGAAAATTAGAATTTGAAGAGATCGCAGAGTTCATGTATAAATCATGATGATGCGTTCATTTTCCATTTGGGATTGTTAAAATAAGATATTTGTGTTTTGCAGAAAAGGAAAGTTTGCGTCATTTGCAATCTGGTGTTTAGTTATCGTCAGTCAGCGATGTTCTCAAGTTTCGCATTCTTTAATATCCTTTCTGTTTTAAAAATATCTACTAGCCTTTTTACCACCACAGAATACTGGACTTACTCTGGTCTTGTTGCACCTTGTATGTATAATTTCTTGACCAGTGGTGTTTTTTTTTTATATTTTGTATGTCAGAAGGAACATAAATATTGATGTAGTATCTACATGATTAACGTTCCTTCTTGGAATATTTTCGTGTCTATTGTCAATTTTCCACATTATAGTAGTTAAATCTGTAAAAGTTTATATTGTCGCTTCCTTTGACTCATTAAATTTCAAAATCTTTTTACATCTACCGTATGATCTGTTAAATTGGTTATTGCCTTATAGCATACGTTTTCAATACTGAATCTCAGTCTGAAGAATACAATTTATCCGAGAATCATATCTTGTAAAACAATTTTTTTTTCACGTTTGGTAATTTGTGGTGTAATCCAGATTATTTCGGATCAACATACAGTCCCTAGAAATTCCTGATACACAGGAAAACTGGACATATTAGTCGAATAATGTAATCTAAAAGAAAAGAAGCAATTATTAATATCAAGAATTCAAATCGCTTTACTGTGACTTGCGAAAAGCTGTCGCTTAATCATCGCTCTAAAAATGAACGAGTGCATAATTGTTTACCTTGTAGCAATTGAGCACAAAATTTTCTAAGAATCCTTGATATACTTTCAAGTATTTTCAATTTATCCTTAATTTTTATACTCGTAGGTTATGATATGAATTTTATTTTTATCTAGATATGGTCTTATTTGATTCCTACTTTGAAATATCTTTATGTTTGATATTGTTTGATAATTTTGATATTGGTTCTGTACGAGCATTTCTGGATGATATTCCTCATCTTAATGTTTCAATAACTCTGTGTCCCCTAAAGCATATGAAAACACTGACAGAATGGCAAACATTACATTAGGCTCATCCGTAGCGCTTCTATTATTCATATTCTCATTTCACGATTTGTTCTCTTGGTCTTAGGAATATGAAAAATCAATGAGCCCATCTGAATCACAGTGTGCTTAAAATGTGAAAGCTCCTTGTGATTTTAATTAATTTATGCAAAATTTGTGTAAAACTTGATTTTCTAAATGAACTTTCCACAGCTTCATACACCTACAGCGTGTTCACCAAGAAGTGCACAAACTTTAAAAGATTAATCCCCCAAATACGAGTAAGACGTTTTATATAATCGTTTTAATTTTTTATATATTTTATTATACGATGAAACTTACGTTTATTGCATATAAAACCATGCTAGTAATTCTGGATATCAAGTATCAGTCAACTTCTTCATTAATACGAAACTTCTACGCCTATGACTATGACTATTTCTTTATATTTAATTTGTAAAAAAGGGACGTTTACGAAAAAAAATTTAATATACCTACTTATTAGACTGAGTTGCATAGTAATGGATAAACATTCTTTCTATTTTACAATATAAACAACAGTTTTCAAAAGAATTTTAATTAATTGGTTAACACAGAACAAAATAACAAATAACTGAGTTTAAATAAGACTAATATACAAAAACGTAACAAACAACCTCAAGGTTAATGTTAGTTCAAGGTCAAATGTAGATTTTTACTGTAATTTTTTATTTTTAACTACGAAATCAGAGGGAGTGACAGTCTTTGAGTAGATACTTGATGGTACTCCTTAGTGGTCTTGATCTTGGGATCACTAAAAAATTGTGAGCCCTTCTGTTCCATTGTCGGAAATAAAAAATGACAGCCGGAATAATCACTTGACCTCTACCTGACCTTGACGATCGACCTTAAGGTCACGTTTAAGATCATAATAACATGTAGAATTCTACGCTCTTTTATTTCTAGCTTCGAAATAGGGAGTCGCTGCTCCAAAAATAGATATGACCTTGACTTGTTCTTTCAACCTTGACCTCAAGATCAAGGTCACTAATGAGTTTCATGTCAGGTATCTACTCATAGACTGTCACTCCCTGTGATTCCGTAGTTAAAAACAAAAAATACAGTATAAAATCAACAATTGACCTTGAACTGACCTTGACCATTGACCTTGAGCTCACGGTCAATATCATATTCGGATGCAGAATTTCCTGCTATTTCCATTTCCCTGGTCGAGAAGAAGGGCTCAATTTAAAAAAAACGACTTGATCTTGATATGACCTTGAAACCTTAACCTCAAGGTCAAGGTTGCCATTGGATGCGTCGTGGCAAATGCTGAGACATTTGTCCTTACCATTTTTCCCAAAAATACTTTCCTGCTAAGATTGTTGGGAGTTTCCATACTTTTGACTAACCCTGTATACGAACCCCCCCCCCAAAAATACAATTTTGGTCATTCTAATGTTGAATTACTAGCATGGTTTTGTAACTACTAAATGTGGGTATTACTATTACTTTCAATTTTGAGAATATTAATTTAATTTTTGAAACCAAAAAAAAATCGGATTTTTCTTTCTTTCAAGTTTGTAAATTTAAACCAACGTTTATAAAGGGTGTTCCTTAATTCGAAAACCAAACTCCTGCAGGGTCAAACCAAAAATAATTCTAAACATTTTAATTAGTTATTAGTCATTTGTAATAGTTATTTATTTTTAATTTTGTTCGAAACTGCGCTTTCTATCACCAATAGCCAAAAATGTTTTTCCAAATTTGGTACAAGCGGTTTAAAAGATGGATGAATCATTAACAGCTCATCTTCGAGCTGCTACATTTTTATATCGGGTCATAATTGACTCTCAGTTTCTTTTTATGTTGTTCATTTTGATCCAAAAGCATTCTGTAGAAGTTTGGCAGCGGAATTAAAAGACACCCCTGAGAAATATCGTTTTAAAGTTTGTGCATACAATGTAATGTGCTTTATTCGTTCAATCTAAATTATACCTGGTCAGTTCCTCGCTGTTCTGTCCAGAGATAAATACCAGAAAGCGATGCACCAGGTAACAGAATTAAACCTCTTCCAGCAGCCAGCGATGGCAGATCGATGTCCAACGCCAGCACCTTGGAGAAGTCGTCCGACTCGTCGGAGAAGAACGGGAGCAACGGCAGCCTTGACAAGAAGAACTGGGACCAGATGCTCAACGACAGGAATCACGTGAACACCCTCATCGACGAGATGTTCGCTAGCGTCCTGGAAGTGCAGTTTAGCGACGATAACGGCGCACTGAATCAAAATAACAACAAACTGTCGACGGTGTTATCGCAAGATAAGACGGAAATAATAATAAATGATGCGACGGAGATCGATTACGAGAACGTAAGATTCGATAACGGCGTTATTGTCAGTAGCGGAAACGGCATGTCGGGCGAAAGTAACGTGCCGAAGACGGTTATAGTGATAAAGAACGATTCTTCCGATGTGGACGACGAGGAGAAGAAGAAGCAGGTTATCTCCTGCAGTTCCAACACTAGCTCGGCGGAGAGACAGAAACAGGTGATGATTTATTTGATTGGATTGACTAGTTTGCATCAGTATGTGTCGGTCATTTTATTTTATTCTATTTTACGTTATTCGAGAAGTCAAAACCCAAAATGGGAATACATATACAAAAAAAAAGGAATGCGAAAAGGGTAAGGAAAACAAAAAAATCACATAATAATAAAAACAACAGACAATATTATTTTGTATAATGAATCAAATAACAAAATAAATTTATAAATAAAAATTCAAATTCGATGGAAATCTAAATAAATACTAGCCTTAAGTAATATGAATAAAGTCAACGTATTACTTAACATTAAAGAAATCTTGAAAACGTGTGAGAGTTGTTGTCAATGTCGTCATCAAAAGCAGAACTTGAAGTTGAACTGGTTTTGTCGTCTTTTACAAATGTTGACCAAAAATTCACCTAATGATATTTTAAATACCATCCCAGACATAATATGAAACCGTTGAACCTGCTGATCTGAGTAATCTGCTACTCGTTGACCATGAAAAAAAATATAATATACTAGATAGTGTAGATTTTAAGAAAAACAAAGCTATCCACATTTTATTTTGCATACTCTCTAGTATTTAAAAAGATTTAAAAAGACCAACTGACAGATGCCATAATAATAATGGATACTAAATTTAACTAGCTGAAAATAATATCGTTCCATACGACATAGTCTAGATACCTTTGCTGAACGCGTTGGAGCTATTTTTATGATGGCATGGTATTGGTATGGGGAAGTTCCGCTTGACTAGAGCAATTTCTCCGGTACATATATACAGGGTGTTTTTAAGCCTGAATTACGCTTCTGTCCATTTTAATGTATTTTTTCAAAGATAGATCAGGGCGGATCTGTTTTGAGGTGAATATGAAGGTGGGCAAGCAATTTTTTTCTGGATTACCTTCACCACAACTCACATAATAAAAGTGTAGATCCCTAGATCTGGGCGAGGTCCGGATCATTTTCAAAATTGCAAAAAACAATTTTACAAAATACCTATTTTATGTGCATTTTGGAAGAATATTGAACAGGAAAAAAAGTTTTAGAATTGAATTTTGCACAATATACTGTAAGTTAAAAATGTTTAAATTTATTACCGATGTTGCAAAATAGCAATAATTGATGAAAAAAAGGCAAAATAATCAAGTTTTTTGGGATATATTTTTTTAATATTTTAATTATTTCGAGGACATTCTAATTTTGGTAAAATAAAACTTTAGAGTATAATAAAACGACACACCATTCATTAAAATAGGTTCTATAGTTTTCGCAAAATATTTTTTTGAAAAATTTTTGAATTTTCAAAATGTTGCACAGCCTCAAATAAAGCATCTAGATAATTGAAAATTTTTTTACATAGGAAAGAGCGCTCAACCTTTCAAATGGTTTTTGAAAAATAGAAATCGTTGATTATAGGATGGCCACAGTAAATTATTAAAGTTAACACTCTTTTTTTTATTTTTAAACAATTAGATTACATTCATCAATTTGCAATTTAGTTTTTTTCGAAAATTATAATATACTGTACATTTTTTGTTGCAAATTTATTATTTGTAAATACATAAATGAATTTCTTTTGGGACATCTGTAAAGAGTTCATAATTTTATCAGCAATCATTTAATCTTAATTATAGTATTTACATTCTATAAATCATTTTTTATAATGCCGTTGAATAAATGATTAAGACTATCCAGATTAAGATCGAATTTTTTTCAATTTTATATCAAATATACAAGGTGTCTGCGAAAGATTGGAAATTCTAAGCTGGAGCCGATAGAGCCAAATATGCCTTATGCTAGTTTCAAAAATTCAGGGCGTTCAGTGTTTGAGTTTTATTTTGAAATTTCTCAATAACTTTGTAGACTGTCAGAGTATGAACAAAAAAATTGGCACTGAGGGTTGCTTTCGCTGTACAGCAAAAATAAAACGCTCTCTCAACGGTAGAAATAAACTATTTTTATTGAAAACTAAGCTTGTGGAAAAAGACGTGTTGTCGGTTCGAGTGTTTGCTGGAGAGTCCGTCTTGGTGTGGAGTCGTTCGCAGAAGTCCCTGGTCCTTGGCGCCAATCTGCCGGGGTCGTCTTCCGGGAACCCTGGTGCGGCCGGGCGCCGGGCTGGCACTCTTGACGCAACACTCAAAATGGGTCACTTGCGAACATGTGTACCCACAGTACTATTATGTTTTTTGACATGACAAATAAGAATTCTGAACTAATTTTGTCGTTGCTTGTATAGGGCGCCAGTTATGCCCTATTCCTTTGGTAAATAGGGGATTTTTTTTTGCCTTTAGAATTACTGACATTGTGTATTGAAAATATGAAAGAACGCCCTTTGTTTCTTGAAAAAGTTACTATTTCCCTTGGTTATCGAGATATTTGCGTATACAAATTTCAAAAATCTTTCCAAAAGTCTGATGCAAACTAGTCAACGTTGCGTGGGTATGCGCCCCATCTCCCAATCAGCCACTTGTAACGCACCGTCTTCGAATAGGTGAAGTTTAAGGATCAACTCAACCACGAACTGCTGATAAAGGAGCTGCAGTGCATGAAGCAGGACCAGGACAAGATACTGAAGAGGCAACGGAAACCGTCGATGAACCTCTATGATAACAGTGCAGTGCCCAATAGTGAGAGTACGGCGAAAATACCGCGGCCCGATTGGTTGGACGTGGGGGGTGGGGGGCGCGAAGTGAAGTTGAATACGTGTCAAATCGAGATAACCGACGAATCGGTCGAGAAAGAGGAGAAGAAGCCTTTTAATCTGGACTATGAGAGGTTTGTATCATTTTGTTTAATTTAATTAAATAAATTAGTTGAGTATGGGGAAATCGTCCGAAATGTGTGAAATTATTTAATTAGACCTTTCTAGAAAATTAAAAAATATTGTAGAGGGGGACAAACATGATGAAGATAATTTTTTGTCTAAATAAATATCCTCTAATATCTAAAGTAACTTGAAAAAATTAACGAAGTCGAACTGTGAAAAATAGCCGTTTAAATTTGCCGCCGAAAGTAGCATGACGTGACGTAACGGTTCTGTTCGACACGTCAGCCAAAAAAGCCACCTATCTCATCTATATCAATCAAAGAATAGGGAGAGGCAAGCTAGAAAGCACATACATACAGTCACCAAAGAAATAACAACTACAAAGTTACTAATGAACAAACATATGATACGTTAGAGGGCGATACGTCAGTCAATAAAATCCTTTTCAAGGTTATCGGCCCAACACAAGATTATTAACATCTGAGGCACCAGAGGGAGCAACAGATAAATTTAGTAAAATATAAAATACAGAACACTAAATTTGTATTCAGATATAATCAATATTACTTTTTGAAAAGTGGTCAATAACTAGTAAACATATTTAAAAATGAAATCAATTCTTTTTTAATGTAAAATAAAATTGCCAGAAAGTTATTAACAAGGAGCAAACCACTGATCCAAATTTTGTTCACAGACTTGATCAGTAAAATTAAATATTTATTTACAAGATTTCCTGATTGTAGTATTGTATTAAGAATTAAACATATTATACCAAATTATGCTTATCACATAATTCCTATCTGCATTTGTTTAAAAAAAGACTGTCTGTAGATTGAAAATATAAGTACAATGTATTAACAACACAACATGTGGCACAAAAATGGGATTAATAAAAGTAGCAACTGCTTCGATTGTGTTATTACGTGTTACATAAAAGAACTAGTTGTATTCCAATTTTGTATTTGATTAGCATACATTTTTATTTAATTATTAATATTTACACATCATGCTTCAATAACAAGTTAGGAGCAAATATAATAATGTTATTGGAATTTGATCCACTAACCAAAATTTATTATTAGGTATATTCGAAAAGTGTATAATTACTTTCTTGCTCAAAGCTACTAATTAATGTTTACCTAAATTTTAAGTTTCTACATTCCACTTTTTTTAATTATCCTGATACCATGAGAATCAACAAATATTGTTTATGGTTTATGGGTCTTTTACCACCTGCCAATATGCAGCTGCTTGCCATAACGCTCTTTCCACGAAGTATCTATTCAAAAAGTGAAATTGACATTCTTCGATATTCATCATTGTTGAATATTATCGTCTTCATTTTTCTAAAAATTTTATACGATTTCTTCTGACTTAATACTAGATAATATCTATATATGAAAGGTAAAATAAAACTATTTTATTTCATTTTATTTTCGTTCTTGGCGAAACATTTATCGCTTAAACCCATGCAACGATTATTTTTGTTTTGTTGGTAAATAATTGTGTATATCGCACTAATCATCCCGAAATAATAAAATGCGTCGTAGGTATTAGTCACCATCGGTTGTCAAGGTTACTTTTAAAAATAACAAATCAATTGGAATGTTAATAACAGGAATTTTTTAATTAAATCACGATTTTCGATTTAGTATTTACCATAAAATTTTTACTAGGAAAAGCATAGGATCGCATTAAAAATTCTAATTACCTAATCGTATTGTTTTTTATAGAGACGTTGTCATATTTACACTTTGTTTTCAAGATACGGGGTGTTAATCTTTTTAAAACCTGAAGGTAGTTTCAAGAAGAAAGTTGGTAGGAATATAATTTTAACTAGTATTTTCTTTTCTTCTAAGATATTTCGAATTGGATAGATACTATGATAAAATAGTAGATTACCTAAGGTTTTGTTCTTACTGCATGTTACTAGGACACACCATTTTCAAGATATTTAGTAAAATGTTATACCATACACCTACATATATTGGTTAAGAAGCATTTATTTATATCTGAATGTACTATCAGAGTATAAAAGATGTTCGGTCGCAACAGCTGGGTGCAGGTGTGGTCCGATCGGAGTAATTTTGATGTCGTTGTATAGGTTGGACTCTATTTTGTGATTCTATGGGTAGGGGTGGAAATATATACTGGGTGTATCTGTTTTATCGTATCCGATTAAGTTTTGATGATATTCCCAACGTTATTCCTAACTACCATTTGTCATCCTCGTAAATGTAAATATCAAACCAGCGCAAATCCAATCCGACCCCATACCGTCATATTTCAAAACAAGCAGCGGTTTATTTACTGCGTTTATGTAACGGACTCATCTACCGCGATGGTAGCGTGTAATGAACGACCTTTTTTTTTAGTTTTGTCTTGCGTACCTAATTCATAATCCCACGGTTCGCAACAATTCATTCTGTTTCGAAACGCAATAATCAAATTTCCAAGTACATTTCGCCCGTTCCATTAACGAGGCGAGAAAAATGTCAGCCAGGAAATCGAAATGCTATGCGGAATCGTTCCCACAGTATTTAGAAAAAGTATATTTTTAAGGTCGCTAGGTTCTTCCGGGTAAAAGGGAATTTATCGTTTAAATTAATGAAAGTACCGTAAGCAATTTGGCTAATTGTTAAATCGTTATTCTAGTCGGAAGAGGAAAACAGGGTACAGACATGGTATTAGAATTAATGAAAATGCTTGTATTCGAAGATATTAATAATAATGTTTTCTGCGTCGACGTAATTTGGCACAGTCTCAGCTACACATTCTCCGTACTTTAATGAATTTTCAGAATCTCTTACCAGATATGTTTTTTATTTTACTTGACCGTTTATATGAAAGAACTGTTTGTTAAAAAATGGATTTAGTCCTTTTTAACATTCCATTCAGACGGACTGCTTACTTGCTAAGTGTGTTCTCATTTCAAAGACTAATCAGCACGTTGAATCTCGTATGAATTGACATTTGTACCACATTTTAACATAAATTTTACCAGCCACGATGCCTTACAAAGCTCAGGTTCTTTTTATCTTTAAATTTCAAGATTTTATTATCTTAAATAGATATATCGGGTTTACTCAAATGCACAGATGTACTTGACATTTATATAGCGTATTACCCAGTGCTCCCTCTGTGCGTCATATTTTTTTGAAATTTTTTTTTAATCTAGATTTTGAGATATTGTTGTTGAAAGTTGTTCATTTTAACATAGGTTTGTTATATGGCGAAGATGGATGGTGCGGCTCTTTATTTGTCCATAACTGAGAAAAAAATGTAGAAATTGTGAAACAAAACTTTTCCACAGATAGTACACAGTATTTATCTTATTTTTGATGTAAAACTAATGTAAGTTTTGAACATAGTACAGCTGTATTAATTATAAACAGAAATCAATAATTGTATTTCTGTCTGACTTGAGGAATAATGTGGCAACGTCTCAATCAGTTGACACCAACATTTGAAGGACTTGATAAAAACGAAGTTGATTTCAAACATATACATTTTCCCTAAATCCCATGTACATTGTTATCAACGATAAATTATCCACAACAGATGATTTTTTATAATGTTTTTAAAAAACTAGATTAATTAAAAAAGACTAGGAAGCTGTGATATATTTATTGGAATAAAAAATACAGTAGATAAATCCTTTTAATATATTTAATGGTTTATAAAAACATCGTTACCCAGCAATATTTAGGGTTACATAAAGTTTTCTTTACTTGATTAATATAATTAGTAATACTTGAGATAAAAGCATTTGTACGGAATAACAAAGGAACATAAATATTTCTCAGCAAACTTTATATCTAAAAAATTAGGTATAGTTGCAAAACTTTTGTAACTAGTAAAATAGAGATTAAAAACACGAACAGTGAGTAATAATGTAATTTCTATCACAGAACCTTCAAAATTGCATCCAACATTTTCTTCGACTTGGACGAGAGGTGGGCGCGAGTGTCATTTCATTTCTTTAGAACTAAATTAACATAATTCTCGTTGTTTTACCAGTTCACATGATTTACGGATTTTAAATAAAGGATACAAATCTTCGCGAGGATAATACGATATATTTGCTATATATAATAATTATATTGTACATAGTTTACACACAATACATTTTTGAACGCTTACGCATCTTTACCCGAATTTGACTCGCAATATCTCCGATGTCCGAGGTGTGTAGGTTCACAGTGTGTATAGCTGCTAGTCAATTATTAGCGCTGTTGTCACATCTACATAGTCTTTATGCGTTTATTAAATATAATTTAAAACTATTTATGTTGTTAATTAGTCAATATGTATGCTATGTGCATATGAGTAGATTTCTTTGCTATATAGATAATGTTTATCGCAAATAATTTCAATAGAATTTAATTTTTTCAAATTGGCAGCGGGCTTTAGTCCTATAAGAAAAGCATAGGACCCCCTGCGCTCCTCACTTCCCTCGGACCCCGATGTACCTCCTTAATCTTAAGCTCGATACTGGAATTTATGTTTATAAAATTTTAATTATTTCTTGTGTGTTGGTTTAATTAAAAGGTATTATCGTATATTATCGTATATTGCAAAGTTTATGTTTTTTTGCTGTTCCTGGCAGTTGTTGAAATTCTAGAAAACATAGCAAGACATGGATTATATCAGCAAAATAATTAACGAACTAAAATTAGTGAAAGTCACGTACAAAGACAGGAATTACAAATACCAGGACAATTAAAATGTTTAAGGCTAAATTAAAAACAATTTCCTTTTACTGTATCACCCGTATTTGGCTGACGGCCTCGCATATATTTTTTTCACAATTCAGAAAAAATCGTTTTCGGTCCTGTCGATTGTTTGTAAATGTACAATGCGTTAACCCTGACCCACCGACGGCTCTGTTTTCGTAATTGGAAGGAGCGACTTTCGTTTTGTTTGAGATTCACTTAACTGTTCCATTTAAAGATATTTAGGAGCTGGGTGAGGTCATTTTTAATTTTATCCAGACGTAAATATAATTCCCTGTCGTATTCATTAATGCTTCTATTTTTAATTTATTGCTCGAAAGTCATCCGTTTCATAAGAAAATTGTCGTAATTTCAGAATATATCGGCACAACGAATGTTTAATTTTGTACGGTCTGGGCCTGAGTATTTTGAAATGTACTATTTTTTATTGTTGGTCACGCTCGTTGTTAGTAAGAAAATATGTTTTTCCATTGTCATACATGCGTATTTTAAATTTATGACTTTATTTTTATTATTGCACAAAGTAATTCAAGAAAAGAAATTGAAATTGGAAAAATAAATGTCATATTCTATTAATAATGTTTATGTAATGTAATGTTTTTGTCAAATAAAAATTGAGTTTAACAGGAAGATAGAGAATATTTTGAAATTAAACATCGATTTTTGTTCTCCTTTAAGTTGATAACTTACATTATACATCTCAAAAGTGCAACATTCGCTGAAATCTGTTGAATATTATTTCTGTTGCCGTAAATGAACTTGCTTTGTCTAACAGCACATGTAACTGCATAATCACGATTTTATATGTTCATTTCTAGCGTTCTCACATTTCTTGCCTCTATCGCCATATACTTATTGCTGCGCGCTGCTTGTACGTTTATTTATCGTTAGTATCTCCATAATAATGCAATTACTTTTGTTTATGGTAGATAAAGAACGACCTGAATATTTCCCTGGTTATTAACGAACAAATAAATTTGCAGTTATACGTACAGGTAAAGCATACGTATGTTCCTGTGGTCAAAATAAAATAAATGTTGGGGAATTGCGTAAGAAACAATTTTTTTACGAATATAATGAATTGTAACAATTTCTTTTAACGAAAATTGTTAAATGCAACATCCTTTTGCTTTACCTGCTTTGCCTTTCTAAATATTAACCAGGATTTTTCTCGTATTCAAAAAAAATTAGGCAATCAATCAAAAGAAATATAAACTTTTACTTGTATGTCATTTCGCGATAAAATCTGACGTAGGAAAAGTAATTTGTAAGGAAACAAGCAATTTGTTTAGATAATAAAATCATTTTGAAATCTCTCCATCAACGTCGACAAACACTAGCACCGTCTCCATTAAGCTAAATTAATTTCACCTGCAAATTTCGCTCTTTTCACTTCGCTCTTATTGTTCTTGGTCCTGTATTGTTTTGATATGGTAATTATGTCTGTGCTCACTTACTTAATACCGGTCGCACACCAGAATTTCTCGTTTGTTGTGAAAAAAGGTCGGTTGTAGCCCAGAATTTCATTAGTGGTCGAAGTGAGTAACCTTGACTTTAAGCTGTTTCATTTTTTCAACGATTCTCTTTTGTTTGTAATTTCCTCGGGACAATTTTGAACCGCAAACCACATTGCTGTCTTAAGCCATCATCGACAGTGGTCTTCATGATTAGAACTACACACGTTTCAAGTAAATAGAGTTCTTTCTTTCTGTATACCTATAAAGTTTTTTTACAGCTCTCTTAAAAAAAAATCATATGTCACATTCTTGTTATGCCTGTGGTTTTAATATTGAGATGGTAGATATTTATAACAGGGGATTCATGATGGGATCGCCAAGTTATAAATTCAAAGGTCACAAATATCAGATTTCTATCCACGGTTGGTATTTTAATATTTGGGCAACATCTCCATAGATCTTAAACAATGCAGGTTTTACAAGGATACAATTTATAATGGCTTTGTCTTGCGTACAAAAAAATTCTTGGCATTCATTAAATTTGCGTATTCGTAAGAAAAACATTACGAGGTTACTTTGAAGAGTAAATAATTGTATTTGGACACATTAGGTATGATTACACTGTTATCTATGGTATCTAATATTTGATAATACTCCAATATAGTAGCAATAAATATTATGAGTTGATAAATATTTGTTATTAATCTTTTAATAAGGCTGGATATGCAAAGAATGAGAGTTTTTAATGAAAAATCTGACAGTTACTTTTTAGACTTAACGATGGTACCTATTTAAAACTACCTCAAACAAATTCCTACACATAATTTTTTATGGTAAACTTATATTAAAATTTAAAAATAATTACTAGAAAATGGGTGATTTTTCTAAAACAACAGAAACCTTTTGTCAGAAATGACATTAGCAATTACCTAAATGCTCCCAATATCTGATTGACTGGTTGATCTGTTGATCTAGTTCACAGAGTTTTACCGTTAATTAGACAAATTTTTAGATCGCGTTTAATCAACTTGCGTCTTCGGAAATATTTAAATAAATGAAATATTTTTTAAACTACAACACCACAGTTTGTATATACTGAATTACATTATTATTTATATTTTTTTAGTAAAAGAAAGTATTGTTCGTTATTTAACTTTCCCCCAACATTGACGTCCAACAATTATGGTGACTTTAAAATAACACGTGGCTAATTACAAAATACAAAACAATCTGCTCTTACTAAATTATTTTCCATCGTAGTTCGTAGTTTCGTTTTATTGATGCACACTGGATAGTTTTACGTGCCTGCATTTTGATTTGTCCCATGCTAATCAAAATAACTTAGCCACTTTAAGAATCTTCAAAAAATCTAATTGTAGTCACCGAAAACTAAAACCTACGTCGTACAGTAAAACAAATCACTATATTTTTTCAACTTTTTCAACCAGTAGGTGTATTGTTTGCTGTACTTGACATGTTCCCAGGCTTGAATTATTAATTACTCAGTCATTTTAACTGTGGGAAATACACACATTGCGCGCACAACTATTTCCATTTATTTCCATTTCTTTGGGCGGTGGGTACACTAATGATCACCATTGCACCTGATTATTGTCTGAGACTTTATGTTTTATTATAAAATTCCATGGCCTGGAACGAGACTGATGAGTGTTGCGCAACTAATACCACATATTTTCACTTTTTGCTTGCTGAGAACCAGTAATTTGCCATTAAATAAAATATTTATTATAAACGTAACATTGCGTAATACGACACAATGTTTCGAATGGCACTCGGTTGCTAGTTGTAAACGTCTTTTCAAGTGATTTTATTAGATATCGGTTACATAACTTAAGCAGTTGTTAATATGTTTGAGTTTGATCTCGGTGACCTGGTGAATATGTATGTTTTATGCGCTTCTAACGCGTGTTATGACCCCTGGATTGCCCTCTGTTCGTGTACACTGGGCGATATTTAACTACGTTCCTATGATGAAGGGATGATTTTTCCGATACTTCTAAGAAAAAAGTCCCAGCAAACACATATTTTAAGCCTACTTTCCAAGGTATACAGTATGTCCGCGGTTAGGGTGAATAAGAGGATTTTTTTCAAATTTTTCAAATTTTTCAAAAAAGGCACAATAGTTTACAACAGCAGCATCTTTGTTTCTTTTTATGTAGATATATATATTTGTATTAAAATATTGTTTAAACAGGTCAGCAAGTTCAAATTGCAAAACAACATGAGCTGATGATATTTTAAAAACTCGATTAACCTGCTTTTACTTGATATTTCGCGTATCGAAAGCTTTTTAATGTTTACTATGCGAAGGGTATTGATTACATCTTTATGTGTACCTTCGAACGTAAATTTTGTTTCCCGACTAACATAAGGAGAGGCTGATTAGAGGTCGCGCGCAATTTAGCCCTCAAGATCAAAGCAACCATTGAAAGCTTCGACCCTTTTCCCGCCGCTTTGATGTAAATGTGTACAGTGTCCCAGTTTTGCTGTTTGAAGATCAAATATAATGTATCAACTGAACCAGACATGTTTATACATTATATTTCATGACAAACTCCACATACCGTAATCGAAGCTGTTTGTGATGGCAGAGTGGGACAGAATGACGATTCCTTTGTCAGAATTTGTGAATATCCATAGATATATCTACCACAGATTGTTGAAGTGAAAATTTCAAAATTCCGCGATTTTATTGGCAAAATTGGTGTCTATTTATGTGATCCGTCAGGAAAATCCACTCTGTATATTTTTACGCCTTAACAATACTTTTCCTGACCGCTAGATTGGTTAGTCGGTCGTCCCGTTTAGCAAACCTAACTCGTGTCATGTGTGAAGTCAACTTGCATATTCCAATCGTGTAAACAATGATCAAGCACGTGCTACTGCGATAATAGTTGTCCAACAGATAATCTTTCCTACAGAAATTGTTTTTGATTGATTTAAGATGCCTAGCACCGACTGGGCTGATTAATTTTACAAATTATACTGACTGTTGACTGTTCCATGATTTCTTTCTGCATTTTTTACAGAATAACAAAAATGTCCTCCCTCCACGGCCTGCCGCCCCTTCCCAAGAGCCTCAGCGGTTTCAACCTTTTGGAGGGCCACCAGGGGGGCGTCAGCATGAACCCCCCGACGCCGATGCGTAGCAGTTCCATAAGATCTACCGCCCAGCAGGTACCCCCAGGTCATCTGGTGTACCCCCCTCATCCCAAAGTCAACGGCGAAGTGGCCGTTTCCCAAGTTGGCGGCGGAACTTCTGGTAGGAAATCCACTAACCTAGACACCCAACTGGCCATCCTCAGGCGGGAAATGGTGAGTCACAAGCTTTTAGATCTGTATTATTATGTATGTATGTCGGAGAGTAGTGGAATTGTTTTTCCACCGCGGCACTTAGGCCTTATTAGGCCCCTTGTACACTCTTCTTCATTACTCGAGTACTTTTCCTTCACCATCCTATTTACTACACGGGTGGCTTGGTGGCAAAAACTCGTACAGTTTATGTACGATAGCATGGTCTTGAGTTGCAGAGATTTTCTTTGCTCTGTTCTCATTACAATTTATAGGCTGTCACAGCCACGTCCCCGAGCCTGTCTTAGGTCACCCATCCAAATTCCAGCCTGCGTCCGTGATGCTTACCTCGGCAGATCGAAATCCACCGGCCAAGACACCCGGCTAGGTGGTTATTCGCTACAGTACCTTTCAAAATTGTATGTTGCTTTAAAAATTGCTGATACTTTATTGAAATATTATAAACTAACTGAGCATATTTTTTACGTTGATTGGAAACAGTAACTTAATTATACTCTTGCTAGGTATAAGCATAAATTCACTTCATGCTCAATTTCGGATAAAGGAAACATTTTTTTGTTTCGTTTTACTCGAGTACCTCGCATTACTTTCTCGAATTATATGAGCATTAGCGAACGAATTTCATTGTTTCATTAATCACGACATATGCTACATACACATAAGTTACATATTGGTAAACACTACGTGTCATTTGCAATAGGATAAGATAAGCAATAGTTTCACAAGTTCCAATTTTATTGTTTACGGATATGTGCCAGAATAGTGTTGTAAGAATAAATATATTTTATAAATAGTGTGTGGGTATTATTGCAATTTTTTTAGTTCGCCCATAGCTTTATTTTTGTTACCTCAACATTTTTTACTTCTAAAAATAAAATTCGTTACGTGGACACCACGTAACGATTTTACTGATTTTCCTTTTTTGGTAGATATGTACCTAATGTGTTGTTTCTTGACCATTTCCATAATTTCCCTTTTCTGTTTCTCGTTTTTTCCTAAGAAGCGTTAATCTGGTAGTTATTGACACTTTCATTTGCCCATCCTGGACATTAAAATCGAGGTGCGAAAAACAGAATATATTTTTTTGATATGGACCTACTGACTTAACCACATTGATACGATTGACTTTTTTGGAACAGTTAATTCCACCAATAGCTCTCATTTCATTCGTAACAATGTACAGCAACTACTCGCATCATGTAAGCACAGTAATGGCTGATGCTGTTCTACTTTACATGCCCCGTTTATCATTCTCGGTTGGGCGTTATGTAGTAATTTTTAGGGAATAACATGTATTTCCTAAATGTAAGTGTTTGGAATTACATGATTCGTGAGAACGTTGTTGTGTGATATCTTCGAACTGCTCGTGTGTCTTGAATGTTTCAAACACTTTTCGCTACTTAAGAAACCTTGATTGTCGCCTGGTTACCGCCCTATACAATCTTGGCGTTTTTCTGGGTGTAATAAGGTTAAACAGCACGAACTTCCCCTTGCGTCGTGATGGAAATCCATTGCAATAGTTCAGTTTTGGAGTGGTAAAAGGCACGAACCATCGTACCGACCTTGGAGGTTGTTCACTTGGAAATGCAACGCTGGTGGAGTCGTGTTGAAATTTCTTGGGCTCGTTTCTGTGGAATTATAATTAAGATTGTGTATTGCAGAAAAAAAAGATAGGAAGTAAAGCAATAAAGTCTAAAGTTTTCCAGATTTAAAGACCGAAAAAAGAAATAGGTAGATCTTCAACTTTGACAGATTGAGAATCCAAAATACTGCAGCCAGTGATGTAGAGATTCAAAACAAAATTTCTTTAACGTTTTTGTTCATGAAGTATGTGGCAAATCCTTGTCATCAAAAATAAAACTGAGAACAAGTTACAACGGTCCTCATGAAAAATTAGGTTCGTTTTTGAGAAAAATTAGTTAAATATTTTTATTAAACTGGTTTTGCTTTTTTAATAATGTTCATCTCTGGATTTTGGTTATTGTAATATCACAAAAACTTTTTTTGGTGAAAGCACCGACTGATGAAATCCCATCGAGAATTCTCTTTTTGGTACTACCTTGTATCGTACAAGCGTGAACTGAATCCTTCTGAGAGGAACGAAATAGTAACTGTTTAAATGCCAAGACGTGATTGATTTTTTTTTTTCGTTCGAGGACACGAACCAATACGTTTTTCAGTGAATGGACAACGCCGCCTCTAGGTTAACTGATGGACTCGACTCAGTGTAAGCCACCATCGAAAACTTGTTGCGGCTTACAAGGCAATCGCGATGTCGTGTTGTGTAACCCACAACCCGGGGCGATGAATTTAATAGCGTTTGGTGGCACTAATATTTTCATTGTCCTACTAAGGCATTAAGTAACTGTCCAGTGGAAATGTTACCTCAGTACCGAAGGCCGCGGTGTTTTAAACGTCCGATCACGACGCACCTGTCATTATATTGTTTTTGTGGTTTCTATGCCTCATCTTATAACGCGGAAAATATTACGTACATGTTTAAAAAACAGAAAATCTATACGTATTTCATCAGTTTCGTTGTACTTGGTTTCAATTTGAAAAAATAGAAAGGGCTTTCAATTATATCCAAATTTCTTGAGAAAATTGTAGCTTAGAGGCCACTAGAAGGTGGACAAGCATCGCGAGCCTTCCCCTGATGGTCACCCTTCTAAGTACTAACCGTGATTAGCGTTGCTTGACTTTTCATATCAATAACATGAATGGCCAACGGTAACCAACATAAAAGTAATTAATGTATCTATTTCTGATAATTACTTCAATTTCGACGTATTCATCGGTTGAGGCGAATCGTCTGAGCGTCTTCAAAATTAAACGCAACATCAATTATAAAAGAAATTCTTACAACGGTGAGGCGTGATCGATGTTGAGTAATTAATTAATATCAGTCCGCTTAACGGGCGTTATTTGCGAAACAAATGCACCTGATACAGTTAATAGAATTCACGCTAGTTACGCGTCAGCGACGTAATACATTTGCCTTTTAAATTAACGCTCGGCTAGCGAAGATTTAAAAGATATTTCCTCATTTGATTCACAAAGGAAATAAATAATTTTCGAGTTAAAGCTCTTCTGGTCGCGCTACACCTTACATCCTGCTTAGTATCTGAACAACGAGACCATAAAAACATTAGGTTATCTATAAAAATCGTGAATTTATGGAGGCTCTTAACGTTATTCCAGGTTCACCGACAAGAAGGCTATGCAAATGCGCAGGAAGAATTGTATACTCGAGTCACCGGGTTGGATTTATCGCGTTTCCTTTCCTGTGCTAAGTTATTTATTTTGCTTTGTTTAGAGGATGAAGAGGGTTTTAACAAAAGATATTGAAAACAACTGCTCTGCGTGCTAATACCCCGACCAATATTGAATGTAATTCGATACCCCGCAGTGGTAAGATAAAATAATTCTTCAGTAAAACCACCAGACATATACCGGTTAGAGTTTAGTCTTCATCAGTCTGCCATAGGCGTTGGTAAATTTACAAATAACTTATTGCCTACGATTAAACCAATTCATTAAAGCACCTAAGATACTTTGACTCTGCGTGATAATTTCATTTTTGGTATAGTTTGCACAGAATAGGTACATACAATTGGTAACTGGTGTTAAGTTTTCTGGGTTAACAATGTTATATATGTCATTTATGAAAATAATGTGCAACAGAGGTCCAAGGACCGAACCTTGAGGTACCCCGTATTCTAAACTGATTTATTGAAAACCAAACCAACTTGAAGATCTTTTGAAAGAAACTTAACAATTTTATGAGATATCTCGCTCTCTCATCCCCCCTCTCTGCCCTCTCTCCCCCCTCTCTGCTCTCCCGCCTCTGCTCTCTCCCTCCACCTCTGCCCTCTCTCTCCCCCCCCTCTCTAAAATTTTACGTAATATCGATAACAAACGAATCGGTCGATCAATTCGTTTTTCATCTAATGGTTTCTCGATAAAAGTCCACTAGTGTCCTTCCTGTGCTAATTTGTATGAACCGATGACTTCAGGTCAAAGCGTTAATAATTGAGTTTTGCTTTGGACAGATTTATTAAAAGTGACAGCAGAATAAGAGCAAAAGGACTTACTTCTTTCTGTGAAACCCGAACAAACTTTTTTGTTCTTTGTTCGCGAGTCAGACCCGTCGCTTTGGTGGCGAGGCTCCCGCTTAATGCCGCCGACTTGAAGATTATTATCTTTACGTCGGTCTGTGCCCAACCACCGCGACGTCACGCCGGGTAAACAGGTGTATAAATTTTCTTCCCTCCTGCCACCCCGACCACCTGTACGCGATCACGGAGTCTGGTAACGACGGGAAGGTTGGTTAATTAACGCCATCCTGATGGTGACCGGATCTGAAACGCATCCGGGCTTCGTTTCTCATTTGGTGAACTTTGACAGACCACACCAATCCTTAGACTGTAAAAGGTTCATAGAATCATATAAGCATACAATGCTTCTTTTCCGAGATACAGTTAAAGTTTTCTTACAAAAAATATGCTTTCAAACGAGTCGACCAAATTAATGATTTGTTAAAGTATTTCCGAAGTCAGTTGAACATGTATAAAAACGTCTAGCAATAAAATTTAATGTGTTTCATAGGCGTACCTAAAAAAGTTTTCTGCTAAAGTTAAAAGATTATAATAATTTGTATATAATGTGTAGAAAATTCCTATTATACGTTCATTTGGCCAACAACATATTTTAATTATTTGTTCTTAAACAATTTTATATATTGATGGTAAATTTCGTTTTGTTCCGTTTCATAAGGTCTCCAAAATGCCATGTTGTAGTAATATTAGTAAAACAAATACCCCTCTTATTTCTCCCTTTCGCAATTGTAATATGAATGATTAATAGAAGGTGCCTATAATAAATTAAAATTACCTGAATCACACCAAATTACGCATTGCTGCACTGCACTGCTAGGCAATTTGTCAACAACTGAGATTTATTGCCCTGTCACCCAGAGCAGCTGTGTTATATGCCGTTTGCCC